CCTAAAAGTACCCTATTTTCAAAATTTCCCCTAAGTTGGTTGTTTTTTTTCTATGCAGGCAACGAAAACGTACCTACATAATTATTTAATTATTACAAAAGTTTTAATGCAATTATCTTGATAAATTACAAAATTCTTCACAGAAATTCAATAATTTTTAGGAATTTTAATAAAATTTTTTACAAAATTCAATTAATTTCATAAGTTACAATATTCATTCCAAGAATTCAATTATTTTCAAAAGTAATAAAATTCTTGGAAGAAATTCAATTGTTTTTAAAAAATTTCACGAATATCTCGTCAAGAATTTTAATGAAATTCTTTTCAAAAATTCAATTATTTTGATAAATATATCAAAAGTCATCACAAGAATTCAATTCTTTTGAAAAGTAATAAAAAAATAGAAAAAATTAAATTATTTTCAAAATTTTTTTAAAATTCTCGTCAAGAATTAAATTATTTTTATAAATAGATAGGGAAATTCTTCTCAAGAATTAAATTATTATCAAAAATTTTTTAAAAATTCTTCTCAAAAAGTTTTCAATTATTTTCAAAAATTATTATAAAATTCTTTAATATAATAAATTTCATTAAAATTTTAATTAAATTCCTTAAAAGAAATTAAATATTTTTAAAAGTTGTTAATACAATTCTTCGTAAAAATTAAATTGTATTTAAATAATTGATTTCTTGTAGAATTAAATTTTTTTTTCGTACTTTTAACTATGTAACAATTTTGAAGAATTAATTTTTTTGACAAAGTTTAATTGAATAATAATTGATGTTATTGATTTAAAGTAGAATTTTAGTTAACAATTCTAGAAAATATTAATTGAATTGAAATGATACAAATAATTGTGAAAAAATTGCAGTAACATATCTCAGGGCTCGGATTGTGCGACTTTTTCAACTTTTTTCAACTTTTCTAAGGAAATGTGACTTTTTTCGACTTATAATATATTATATTATTATATTATTATACTTATAATATTATTTTTTGTGAAAAAATGCGACTAATCGACTTTTTTCAAATTTTTCAATTAGTTTTCGACTTAAATTGTAAATGGCAGAAATCTTTTTTTGTAAACAATATTGTTCACAAAATCATTCTTCTCTTTGGTGAAAAAAACATAACATATTCCCGTTTCTTAATATTTTTGTAGGAAATTCTCAATTTTCATAAGGAAATAATTTACATTTCTTTACAAATTTTTCAAAAACATCAATAACTTCTATTTTAAATAAAAATTTAATTATAATTATTTTTCCATATAGGAATTTAGATTTTTAAAACATGCAAATTCAAACTTTTTTGAAATTAAACAACTTATAAAAAATTGTTATAAAACATGAAGACATCGATCACTCAGAGTCTTCGACTCCGAGCCATCAATGTCTTCATGTTTTATTACAGTTAAAGATGAGTGAGTGATAAAATCATTATTTTATATTATAAGATTATAAAAAAAAAATTATTTTTAAATTATTTTTTATGAAACTAATTGAATTATTGCGAAAAAATTTATAAAAAAATTAGTAAGTAATTGAATTCCTGTGAAATTTTCATTATTTATGAAAATAATTAAATGCTTGCGTACAATTTTATTAAAATTTTTGCAAATAATTGAATTTCAGAGAAGAATTTTATTATTTATAAAGAGAATTGAAATTTTGAACAGATTTTTAAAAAAAATTTTAAAGTAAATTGAATTTTACAGAAGAATATTGATATTTATAAAGATAAACGGGATTTTGACGAGAATTTAAAAAAATTTTTTGAAAATAATTGAATTTTTGCGAAGAATTTTCTTACACTTGGAGATTATTGAATTTTGCAGAGAATTTTATTAGAACTTTTAAAAATAATTAAATTTCCAGGATGAATTTTATTATTTATGAAGATATTTAAAATTTTGACGAGAAATTTAAAACAATTTTTGAGAATAATTGAATTTCTGCGAAGAATTTTATTCAGGGTTGCCACAGGTCAGGGAAGTCAGGGAATTCAGGCAAAAGTCAGTGAAAGTAAAATTGGTCAGGGAGAGTCAGGGAAAAGTCAGGGATTTTTACTAAAAGTACTGGAAAAAATTGAATTTTAAAAATTCATGAGAAAACTCTGAATTTTTTTTCCTTTTTGCCTCGTAAACTATAAAATCACCTCGAATTTTAATACAAAACCTTCCATTTTTTCAATTTCTGACAATAATTTTTTTTTTAAATAACTTAATTTTTCAAAAACTATCATAAAATTATGACTTATAAATTATTCAATGTATAATTTTTACAATTTTTATAAATACTAGATTGATAGAAGAATTTTAGTAACAAAAACTAAAAAAAATTGAATTTTTGAAAAGTTACAAATGATTCCAGAAATTTAATTATTTTCAAAAGTTACAAAAATTCTTCGCAGAATTTCAATTATGTTAAAAAAAAAAAAAAATTCTCGTCAAAATTTCGATTATCTTTATAAATAATAAATTCATCAAAATTCAATTATTTTTTAAAATTTTAATAAAATTCTTGTCAAAATTCCACAGGAATTCAATTATTCAATATTTAATAAATTTCATTGTAATAATTCAATTATTTTCATAAGTAATAAAATTTTCACAGAAATTCAATTATTCAAAATACAAAATTTCATAAAATTTTTCGAAAAATATCAATTATTTTAAAAGATTTTTATAAAATTCGTCGCAAGAATTTAATTATTTCAAAAAATTTAACATAGTTCTTTTCAAGAATTCAATTATTTTTATAAATAATAAAATTCTTCACCGAAATTCAATTATTTTTATAAACTTGAATAAAATTCGTTGTAAGAATTCAATTATTTATATAAATAATAAAATTCTTCACAGAAATACAGTTATTTTTATGAATAAAATTCGTTGGAAGAATTTTATTTTATTTTATTTTATTTTATTTATTTTTTTTTTATTTTATTTTCAAAAGTAATAAAATTTTTAGGAAAATTTTAATTATTTTGATAAATAATAAAACTCATCGCAGGATTTTAATTATTTTTTATACAATATTTTAATCAAATTCCTCGATAAATATAATTGTTCTTAAAAATTTTATTAAAATTTGTCTAATGAATTCAATTATTTAAAAATTTATTGATAAAATTCTTTATGAGAATTCAATTTTAATAAACATTCAATTATTCAATAAATTATTTATTTTTTAATTTAAATAATTGAATTTTTCTAGAATTTTCTAATAAAAATTGATTTAAAAATGAATTAACGAATAATTGATTTATTATTATTTATGAAAATAATTGAATTATTGCAACGAATTTTATTACATTTTTTTCAAATATGTACTGTTTTTTGATTAAAATTAAGGTCCTAAAAACAAACTAATTACATTTTTTTTAACCCTCGGAGAACACACCTCTTTTTTAGACTATTTTTCAAAGTTCAACCAATTTTAAACTGCTCATCTAATCAAGCTAAAGAATTTTCTAAATTATAGTTTAAACTCTGTAGTCTGTAGAATAAGTCTGTATACTTGAAAGTCCTTATTAAAAATATTAAAAAAAGATAAAAAGCTTTTCGTAAAAAAGCGTGGGGTCAAAAAGACCCCATGTGTTCTCCGAAGGTTAAATATGAATTTTTTGTGAAATTGTACTGTTTGTAAAATTAATTGAATTCTTGCGAAGGATTTTTTTAGAATTTTTGTAAATAATTAACTTATTTTAAAAAATTTTATGATTTAAATTATTACAAAACATGAAGAAAAAAAAACTCACTCCGAGTCGAAGACTCGGAGTGATGTTTTGAAATAATTTTCTTAAAAGTTGTAGAATTTCGAAAAGGTTTGAATTTGAATGTTTTGAAGAATTTTAATTCCTACAGTAAAATAATAATGATTAAATATTTATTTAAGAAAGAAGTTATTGATGTTTTCGAATAATTTGACTTTTAAAGAAATTTGTAAATAAATTTAATAGAACATTTTTTTGAGTATCTAATAATTTTTAGAGTGAATCAGAATATATCAGAATATATTATAAGGTTCTAAATGGATTTATTCAATGTCCGCATTTATTGTCATTAATTAATTTAAATGTTCCTGTGAGATCAAGTAGATACTATTCTGTTTTTGTTGTACCGTATCATAGAACGAATTATGGTTATATGTCTTTAATAAGTAGACTTAGTAGAGAGGCAAATTCGATTTCCAATAATATAAATTTTTTTCAAATTAATATTGCCAGTTTCACTGCATCTTTGCGGGCATTATTGTATAATTAAATTGTTGTAGTACTATGTGTGATTTTTGCTTTTGATTAATTTTAGTTATTACTTACCAGCCACCTAGCTTTATTGTTTATTGTTAAAACAAATAGGTATAGGTTGTTTATTCGCCTTAGATTGTAAGAGTACAAATGTACAAAAGGGTTTGATCCCGTTTATTATTAATAAAATAAATAATAAATACTCTTTAGGGTCAGGGGGAAAAGTGAAAATTTTGTCTGGAAATCAGGGAAAAGTCAGGGAAAAATAAAATTAAATATTTGTGGCAACCCTGTTATTACTTTTGATAATAATTGAATTTCTAGGATGAATTTTATTATTTATAAAGATAATTGAAATTTTGACAAGGTATTTATTAAAAATTTTTAGAATAATTGAATTTTGGTGAAGAATTTTATTATTTATTTAAAAGTAATTGACATTTTTAAAGAGAATTTTAAAAAAAAATGTTAAAAATAACAAATTAAAATTTTGCTAAGAATTTTATTAAAATTGTATTCCGGATTGTTTGAAATTAAAGTATGTGTTGTCGAGAAATGTTATTTTTTTTACAATTTCTTGTTTCTTTTTTGTCGTTTTTCTAAAATTTCATGCGACTTTTTTACGACTTTTTCGGACATTTTATGCGACTTTTCGTGACTTTTGTTGTGAATTTTTGCGACTAAAGCGACTTTTTTGAGTCTTAAAGACGATCCGAGACCTGATATCTTGCAAAATTCTTTTAAGCAGGTATTACTTGTGAAAGATGAGTGGTAGAGCTACGCGTTCCAAAAATCCGGTCCTAGAGTCCGGCCTGAAATTCAGTGAACGTTCCCGTTCCACAGACGATCGACCTGACGTTAACGAGCTGTACAATAGATTGGACAAGATATATTTTAATGGCGAGGTAAAGTTGGCAGGCTTTAGCGTAAACTGGGGAGCAAACATGCGATCGACTGCTGGAATTACTGATCTACATAAGCGAACAGTTAGCATAAGTTGGGAGGCTTACCAGCTGTTACCGGAAAGTGATCGCAACGGAATAGTTTTACATGAAATGATTCATGTAAAACTGTTCAGACATAGGATGGACAAAGACAGTAAACATCACACTGGCATGTTCATTTCTGAGATGGACAGAATCAATGAAATGGGACCCTATAAGGTATATTGTTAGAGATATATGTATATGTTACGCACTTTTTATATCCATAAAAAATATATCGATTTCTATTTCTTTCTAGGTGAAAGCACACCATGAAATACCGGAGGATGTGAAAGAACAGCTGCACCCATACGTGTGGAGATGTCGCAGTTGCAATTATATTCTCCGATTACCCAATACTGGGGCACCAGGTCCGCAAAATCGACATCTCACCGACGGTCAAATTGTATGTGATAATCCTTCGTGGAAGAAATTGTGGATATCATATTAAGCAGTTCTCTTTTACACATTTTTAAACTATTATATTTTTTGTTAGCACTTTAATAAATGTATATTGTTTACTTGAAGGAGATGGAGTAGTTTAATAAAGTAAATCTTTATTCTTAATATGTTGTTATTTGCCATACTTACCCTACTTTACTGAAGAAAGAAAGCCTCACCTTTTAAATTTGATTTTTTAAGTAAATTGAAATTTAATAAAGTATTTTCTTTAACTTTTCAGCAAAAATGTGCAACAATACGCTTTTAACGACAGAATCAATTTCCTGGAAATCTTTATTGATGGAATCGGAACAAACTGTTCCCAATGAAATTAAAATACAATTAATACCGATGATTGAATATTTCAGTAAATATAGTGAAAAAAACAAGTAATTCAAATTAATATTTTACTTTTCTATTCTTTTATATTTCTTTCAAAATGCTAAAACACTTAAAATGTACTTTAATTATAAAAGGAATGGCTCTAATGAGTTTATTAAAAATATGGAACTGCGATTAGAGGCTTGTTTGAATCGAATTTGGGAGACACTACATTCTGGTCACTGGAAAGATGTCCCAATTCAATATAGATATTCATATTCCATTTGCAGTATTCTTAAGGTAATGTATCAATTTATTTTTACATTTATCGTATGTAGTTCGAAAATTAATCTGAAAAAAGTCAGTCTGAATTGCTAACAATATTTCAAATGTAAAAAAATCAATTATTATAAAGAACCGTTTTTGCACAGACAATTTGTTTGGAACTCGAAAACAATATCGAAACAGATTTGCCAATAGTTTTAACGATGATAAAGCAAATTGACAAAGGAATTTTATTAGGAGCGCCTCTTCAGAGTTCTCCTGAATTGCTGACAACAATTGCCTCACAATTAAACGGTCATTTCATAAGTACGTCTTTATTTATTTTAAATAATTTTGATTTTTAACAGAATTTTAAAACTTTCAAACATGCACAGAAATTTCGTTTAAAAAGGAACTCAGCAACAGGATTAATATTAATGACATAGACATGTGCTCTCCACCGTTTCCTGAATTTCGATCTGTGCCTTGTTATGAACAACCATCAATGGAATCATTCTATAGAGATATTTTTCAACCGAAAGTTCCTGCAATAGTAAAAGGTATTTCAATTTACTCTCACGAAATTCTCTTTCTATAAAAATTAGGTTAAAAATAATTTCTGTTAAGTAGAAAATTTTTAATATTGTTAACGCTTTTACTTATTCAATACTTTCATATTGAATCTGCCATTTTGAATTTTTGAAAACTGACATCATATTCGTAATCAGCGACCTCTAAAACCCCCGAGTGACGAGTTTCAAGCAAATTCAAAGAGTTTTTCAAAAAGTGTCCGCCATATTGGATACGCCATTTTTAATTTTTTAAATTTGGCTCCTTATTCGTAATTGGCAAGCATAAAAACAACTAAGAAACAAGTTGTGAGCGATTTCTATCAGTTTTTAACTCATTTTAGCTGCGAAAAATCTTCACATAAGTTTTTTGAATAAAAACATTAATTTTTAATAATAATGTTGCTGTTTTTCCACAGGACTAATAGGTAATAAAAGTCATTTTTAAACTTTTTTCTTTATCCACGGTGTCTACTGGTCCTTGAAGTTCTGGAATTTGAAAAAATGTCCTTAAATGTCCTGGATTTGGAACTTTTGTCCTTGAATTTTCCATATCTTGCTTTTCAATATTCAATAATTTAAAAATTTTACTCAAATTTAAAAAAATAATTTTTTGATACATCAAAAAATTTACAAAAATTTTCGTCAAAATTTAAATTATCTATACAGAAAATAAAAATTCCTCTTCGAAATTTAATTATTTTCAAAAATTATAATAAAATTCTTGTCAGAATTTCAATTATTTTTAATACAATTTTCATCAAGTTTCTCGAAAAATGAAATTATTCTTAGAAATTTTATTAAAATTTGTCAATAGAATTAACTTATTTAAAAATTTTGTTGATAAAATTCTTTATAACAATTTAATTTTAAGAAACATTTAATTATTTAATAAAATATTTATTTTCGTAGTTAAATAATTGAATTCTTGTAGAATTTTCTAATAAATATTGATTATAAAAATGAATTTCAGTTAAAATTTTTAGATTATAATTGAATATTGAAAGCATTATAGCGTGGATTTTTAGAAATAATTGAATTTTGAAAAAGTTTCGAATTAAAATCTTTCGAAATTTGAACTTTTATACTTTTAATTAAGAATATAATTTAATTTAATTTTTTAATTATTTAAAGTTTTTAATTTCTAATATATTTAAAATTTAATTGAGGAATGTCAGAATAATCGAAATTTTATAAAATTAAATTGTAAACAAAAAAACTTTAAAATTTTCAAAGAAGTTTTTGAAAAATTATTTGAAAAAAATTGACCTAAAGAAGAATTTTAGTTGAAAATTCTAAAATGAATAATTGTAATGATGACAATTTTTGAAGAAGTAATAGTCACAAAGTAGCAAGTTTTAATTATTATAAGTTATTGAATTTCAAATTTTTAAAAATTTTAATTTCTATATGAAAAAATAATTATTAACTATTTATTTAAAAATGAAGTTATATTGATACTTTCGAATAATTTGCGTATTAAAAACCTGGAAAAATTCTGTTTTTTAACCTGGAAAACCTGGAAAAGTCAGGGAATTTGAAAAGAGCAAAACGTGGCAACTCTGGACAAAGAATTAAAAAAATTTTTTTTTAAATAATTGAATTCCTGTGAAAATGTTTATTTTTGAAAAAAATTGAATTCTTGGGAAGAATTTTATTAAAATTTCTTAAATAATTGAATTCCTATAAAAAAATGTATTATTTGTGAAAATAATTGAATTCTTAAGAAGAAATATATTGAAAACAATTGAATCGTATAGGAAAATTTTATTAAAATTGCAATTCAATGAACTAAATCTTGCAAAGAATTTTGTCAATATTTTTTTAAATAATAGAATTATAATTAAAAGAATTTTATTTAAATCTTTCGAAATAATTAAATTTCTCAATTGAAATGAGGAAAATTTTTGAAAATATGTAATTGAAATTTTGCCAAGAATTTTATTAAATTTTTTTGAAAATAATTGAATTTTGGAGACGAATTTTATTTATAAAGATAATTGAAATTATGACGAGAATTTAAAAAATTTTTTGAACATAATTGAATTTATGCGAAGTTATTTAAGTTATTTAAAAAGAAATTATTGGCAAAAATAGAAAAAATTGAAGGGTTTGTATTAGAATTCTTGACAAGTTCATAATTTATAAAGCAAACAAAAAAGACACCAAAATTCAAAATTTCCCTATAAATTCTAAAAATTTAATTTTTTCCAGTACTTTTAGTAAAAATCCCTGAATTTTCTCTGACCAATTCTAAAGTTCTAAAGTTCTAAGTGATGTACCGACATTTTCTTATTATTATTGTTTATTAAGGTTGTATAAAGCATTGGGAGTCTTTGGAAAAGTGGAAGGACATAGAATATCTTAAAAGAGTAGCTGGAACTCGAACTGTACCAATTGAAATTGGCTCCAAATATACGGAAGACGATTGGGCACAACAGCTTATTACATTTTCCGAATATCTTGAAACTTATATTTCTTCCAAGTCTACAAAAATTGGATATTTAGCTCAGCATCAATTATTTCAGCAGGTGTAACATTATTTTTAAATTTTTTAGTTTACTTTCGCTTATGATAAAGAACTCGTTTCTTAAATTCGTTTCTACAAATAAATATTTATAGAAACGAATGTATTAAATAAAATTACTGTTGTTACTTAGTAATTATTCAATACTATTTTTCACAGATACCAGAATTACAAAACGATTTTTCAGTACCGGATTTTTGTTCTTTTTCCGATACAGAAGATGAAAGTTCGACAGACATTAATGCTTGGTTCGGTCCAGCAGGAACTGTTTCTCCTTTACATTACGATCCAAAGAATAATTTATTATGTCAGGTAATGCAAAAATATTGCTTAAATTTTTATTTTAACTAATAATAAAATAAGATTTTGACTTACATACATATTTATAGGTGTTTGGATATAAACGAATAGTTCTCTATAAACCAGAGGACAGTGAATGTCTCTACCCTTACGAAACAAGATTACTCTGTAATACAGCGCAAGTGGATCCTTATCAACCGGACTACGAAAAATGGCCTAAATTTAAGTCAGCGGAAGCTTTCTTCTGTTACTTGAAACCAGGAGAAATGTTATTTATTCCACCCAAATGGTGGCACCATGTAGTTAGTCTTTCTCCTAGTTTTTCCATCAGTTTCTGGTGGAATTAAACGTCACTTCAGGCCAAAGAGAAATAAAGAGAAGCCTATATTTTTTACGAAAATTATTTATTTTACATCTGAAATCATTTCTTTTGTTTTTTTCTTAAAAAAAAAGATATTACAATGTTTTTCTAAACAGTATTGTTATATAAAGTAAAATAATTCACAGAAAAATAATAACAGATTGTATGGAAAACTATGTGAAAAAGTATAAAAAATAATTGAAAAAATAGAAACAAACTGTATGATACATTTGATGTCCTTAAGATAACGTAATACAAGTATGTAAGTATTTAGGGAAGTGGAGGGTAGTCCTCGTGGTGGGTAGCGTACTCCCTACAATTAGGACACGAGCGGCTATTATTCAACCATTGTTTTATACACTGAAATCAAACGTTAAATTTTATTAAATTATTAATTGTTCTTTTATACATTGTCCAATAAATAACACTTAAAATGTAGAAAATCACCGCCGAGTAAAAAATATCGAGTTTATTTAATAATTTTAATTAAAATTTTTGAAAATAATTGAATTTTATGTATAATTTCTTTCAAGTTTTTAAAATAATCGTGATTGTTAATAATTGAAATTAAACATTTAATTCTTAAATTTTATTAGAATTTTAGAAAATAATTGAATTCTTTTTCATAAATTTTATAACGAAATTAAGAAAAAAATTCAATTCTTTCGTGACATTTTTTTTAAAATAATTAAATGTTCGTACACGGAAAAACCTTTGAGAAGTCTGTCTTCCCACTGTCACAAAATTTCGCTTCTCACTGCATGGAAAGTCTGATCGCCCGCCACTGGGTGCGTAGCATTACCGTTTTCGATAGACAAACTTCCCAAAAAGTTTAGAAAATTACAACTGGGTACGTTGGTCACCCAGTTTGGGAGTGCAGATGAACAAGTTTAGTGGTGGCGCTGACGCATAAGTTTCGGGTGAGCAGACTGCTTAAAGGTTTTTCCGTGTATAATGTTACCTCTTTATGGAATGAGTGTTGGCAATCTAAGGTAGAGACACTTTTTCCATTCGCAACTTGATCCAGCGCTTCAAAACAAATATTACACTCCGCTTCAATGGTATCCTTTGTCCAGTTGTTAGCACTTGCTTTAATCGGAACCCAAGCCGACTTTCCTGAAGATTTTTTTGTAGTTTGAGCTTCAATCTTAATAGTTGCAGCGCCTACTGAAACAAAAGGAGGGTTGAGAGATTATTATAAATAAAAAGACACGTAAAGAAAATACAATAAAAATAATAAATATAATTTAAATAATAAATACAACAGGGCTTGGATCGTCTTTAAGACTCAAAAAAAGTCGTTTTAGTCGCAAAAATTCACAACAAAAGTCACGAAAAGTCGCATAAAATCTCCGAAAAGGTCGTAAAAAAGTCGCATGAAATTTTAGAAAAACGACAAAAAAGAAACAAAAAATAACATTTCTCGACAACACATACTTTAATTTCAAACAATCAGGAATACAATTTTAATAAAATTCTTAGCAAAATTTTAATTTGTTATTTTTAACATTTTTTTAAAAATTCTCTTTAAAAATGTCAATTACTTTTAAGTAAATAATAAAATTCTTCACAAAAATTCAATTATTCTAAAATTTCTTAATAAAATTCTTGTCAAAATTTCAATTATCTTTATAAATAATAAAATTCATCCTAGAAATTCAATTATTTTTAAAAATTGTTTGAAATTTCTCGTCAAAATTTTAATTATCTTCATAAATAATAAAATTCATCCTAGAAATTCAATTATTATCTAAAGTAATAAAATTCTTCGCAGAAATTCAATTATCTCCAAATGTAAAAAAAATTCTTCGCAGAAATTCAATTATTTTCAAAAATTTTTTTTTTAAATTCTCGTCAAAATTTCAATTATCTTTATAAATATCAATATTCTTCTGCAAAATTCAATTACTTTAAAAAAATTTTTTAAAAATCTGTTCATAATTTCAATTATTTTTATAAATAATAAAATTCTTCTTTGAAGTTCAATTATGTGCAAAAATTTTAATAAAATTCTTGTCAAAATTTCAATTATCTTTCTAAATAATAAAATTCATACTGGAAATTGAATTATTTTCAAAAGTTCTAATAAAATTCTCTGCAAAATTCAATTATCTTCAAAAGTAAAAAAATTCTTCGCAGAAATTCAATTATTTTCAAAATTTTTTTTTTTAAATTCTCTTCAAAATTTCAATTATCTTTATAAATATCAATATTCTTCTGCAAAATTCAATTACTTTAAAAAAATTTTTTAAAAATCTGTTCATAATTTCAATTATTTTTATAAATAATAAAATTCTTCTTTGAAGTTCAATTATGTGCAAAAATTTTAATAAAATTCTTGTCAAAATTTCAATTATCTTTCTAAATAATAAAATTCATACTGGAAATTGAATTATTTTCAAAAGTTCTAATAAAATTCTCTGCAAAATTCAATTATCTTCAAAAGTAAAAAAATTCTTCGCAAAAATTCAATTATTTTCAAAAAATTTTGTTTTTTAAATTCTCGTCAAAATCCCAATTATCTTTATAAATATCAATATTCTGCAGCAAAATTCAATTTACTTTTAAATTATTTTTAAAAATCTGTTCAAAATTTTAATTATTTTTATACTTAAATAATAAAATTCTTCTCTGAAATTCAATTATTTGCAAAATTTTTAATAAAATTGTACGCAAGCATTTAATTATTTTCATAAATAATGAAAATTTCACAGATTTCAATTTAAATTGAATTTAAATTTCAATTACTTACTGATCTTTTATAAATTTCTTCGCAATAATTCAATTATTTTCATAAAAAATAATTTAAAACAATTTTTTTTTCGGTCATCTTTAATTATTATAAAACATGAAGATATCGATTGCTCCGAGTCAAAGACTCTGAGTGATCGATGTCTTCATGTTTTATAACAATTTTTTATAAGTTGTTTAATTTAAAAAAGGTTTGAATTTGTATGTTTTAAAAATCTTAATTCCTGTGGAAAAATAATTATAATTAAATATTTATTTAAAACTAGCTGTCGTACCCGTCTTCGACGGGTTTTAGTTTCTACTAATATATTTGAACAGGTGTCTACCAATTGGGAATTTAATTTGACTGGGAAAAACTAATAATTAGTTACCATTAACTATTTCATTATCAAAATATTACCATTTGAATCAGTAAATGACTTTTTCTATCAAATACTATTTTCAACTAATTCAGATTTACAGAACAGTATTTGTCAATTTGTAGTACTTTATGCGTTCGTAGTATTTTAATTAATGCATTAATAATTAATACTAATTTTCCACCAGCTTTTGGAGTTATATAAGAGTCTAATTCGAACTAATTGTATCGCAAGTAGACCCCACGTTACGACTGCTAAAATCAAAAATAAGACCTATATTGTAATCTGAAAGTAGGTCTTAAATTTTGACAAATAAAAATATTACATCAATAGAAATTAAAGCAAAAACAATTTTTTTAAAATGAATTAATATAATAAAACTTTTTTTAATTAGATAAGAAAATTCCCGATTTTTCTAGACGAATTAAATTCCCGGCTATTTCTCGGGATACCTTTCCGATTAATAGACACTCTGTTAAATGTATTAGTAGAAATTATAACACGTTTTTGATTCCCACATGGGAAATCTACATGGGATCTACTTTTATAAAGGAAACCATATTGATTCCTATGTAAAACCGTATGGTATAATTTTTCTATATCCCTATTAAAAATTTCCACATGGGATTTTACATTTTACCCGTTTTTGCGTAATGCCCGGATAGAATTTTGGAAAGCAACACCATACCCCAAACATTTCTAAAATTCAAGAAGAACAATTTTAATTCATAAATAGGAATTTGTTATTTATTTTCAAAGTCATTTCTAAAACATTTCTTGAATTCAAAAAAAGAAAATTTTGATTCATAAATCCCAATTCATAAATCTTAAGGACTTTCTGTGTCCCAGTGCCCGCTGAAGTCAAATTTCAGTATTATTGATACTTTTACTGTATACCCTTTATATTGAACATAAATATTTTATTTTCTACGTTAAATATGATAATACATACTATGAAATTTTCAAACTTAAAACCTGAAAATATCAATATAGAAATTGTTTGCAAACTCTCACGTTAATTGATTTTAGAAAATTTGTAATCGGCATCAAATTCATGACTCTAAACTTTTTAATAAAATAAATGTAATTAATGTAATTAAAAATTTAAAAACATCAATCGATATCACTACCAACTTAATAAAAAATTAAACAATATTCAACAAAAAAAATTAATTAAAAATTTTGTCGAAAATCAAAAATATGATTTTGGCTTAAAAATTCGGATTAATTATTTATATTTCATTTTTACAGTAAAAATTAGTTGTATTTACATTAAAAAGTAGCTACAAAAAGTGTCACATCAATTTGACAAAAATTTAAAAAATTTGCATTTTTTTTGATTTTTTGAATTTTGTGAAAAAAGCTATAACTTTCGTTCAGCTTAATATTTTTCAATCGGATATGGCTATAAATTTAAGTTAGACTCAGACCAAAGAGACTGTAAAGTTTCGTTTTAATCGGTCAAGTAGTCTTTGTGTTTATCCCGGACAAAATATTGCGTACAGACATACATACATACACACAGACATACATACATACATACATACATACATAATTTTTTTTATTGTCATTTTTGGAATTCTTACTACTCGAATAGGAAAACTAATCATGAAATTTCAAATTCTATGCAATGTACAGACAAAAGTCTGATCTTATTTATAAAGATATAAGTTATTGATGTTTTCGAAAAATTTGAAAGAAATTTGTAAATAAATGTAAATTATTTCCTTATGAAAATTGAGAATTTCCTAAAAAAATATTAAGAAACGGGAATATGTTATGTTTTTTTCCCCAAAGAGAAGAATGATTTTCTGAACAATATTGTTTACAAAAAAAAAATTTCTCCCATTTAAAATTTAAGTCGAAAAGTAATTGAAAAATGTGAAAAAAGTCAATTAGTCGCATTTTACTATAAAAAAAAAAATCTTGAAAAAGTCGATTAGTCGCATTTTTTCACAAAAAAGTCGAAAAAATAGCACAAACCGAGCCCTGTAAATATAATAAAAATAAATTGTATCTTGTGCTTGCACAATAATTACCGTAGAATTTTTCACCGTCTTTATAAATACAATGTATTTTTTAACAATTATTAATTTTTTTTATTAATACTATTTCCATATTTGTTTAAAAAGTAATTTTAGTTCTTACTTGAAGATGACGAAGAAACAGAATTATTACGTTTACGTAACTTCTCCATTCCAAAGGGATGAAAGTTATCCTTGATTTCTGGAACTAAAAAGCAAGAATTCATTATATTCATTCATTTGAATTATAAATTTTCTTAAGCAAAGTAACAACTCACTTTTATCGTTAATGTCGTTATTTTCTTTATGTTCATTAGGAGTGTCGTTATAATCGAAGATATCTGAAAGCAGATAAATTTTAAAATTAATTATGAAATCTTGAAATTAAATACATTCAGAAAAAGTATTATTTTTCATACATAAAAAAGAAGTGTGAATTCTGCTACCTCCCTTCCCTAATATTTTTGATTTCTCAAGAAAGACTTTGGTTAGAAAAAAAGGTAAGATATTATTTAGAGACTCGTTAAATTAACGCAACTCAATAATTAATTTTAAACAAGTATCAAAAAGTAGCTTTAAGATTTAAAAAAAATATCAAAAAAGTAACAACCGAAAAATTAAATTTTTACATAATTTCTAAATTAAATTACATTTTTAAAAATAAAATAATTCTTTTTAAATACATATTTAAATATCTATTTATTTTTCCACAGGAATTAAAATATTTTAAATGTAACTCTTAGTGTCACAGATCTAAAAAAAAGTATGAGTAACATTTAGTCGAATCTAATACCTATCATTTTGGTAATTTGAAAATAGTGACAAAAACTTTCAGGTTTTACTTAATATTTGACGCCATATTTGGTCCGCCATCTTCAAATGTTTAATTCTGCATTACTTTTCTTGAAAGTACAGTTTCGTTTATAAAAATTAATTTTCTTTAATTCCTTAATTATTTTTAATTTAATAAAGTGTTCTGAAGATGATATCAAATGAAAATATTGTTTCCTTTAGTAACTGGTATTGATCTATATTATTACTGAGTAATCATAAGTTTATTTATAGAAAAATTGCTTAAATTAATATCAAACGTTGAATTAAAATAATTTTAATACAATAAAACTACTCACGTTGTCGTTGTCTTTTCAAAACGAATTGTCTAGCTTCATTTATAATTTCGAATATGTTTGTTCCGCTTAAACTATTATGATGGTCTTTCCTTAATTGTAGAATACAATCGATTAAATCATATCTGCAATATTTAAAATTGTCAATTACAATAATTTTGTTAATTTACAAATGTTTATAAATAAAATATTAAAAAACACATCATTTTGACAAAGTTAAGAATTAACACATTTATGATTATATGTTCTGAAAAATGTCTTGTTTTCGTTTCTGGCTTTTAATTTATATAAGGAATTAAATGCTTAAGTACATTTCAAAGAAAATCAAAAATAAATAAAAGTTGTGCGTAGAGTTTAAAAATTTCTCCCTTCTTTTCTTTTTTTAAAATTATAATATAAAACATTTGTAACTAATAATACATACTCAGGAACTCCGACAAATTCTAAGCGCAATTTCTCCATAATTCTATCAGCTCCATACTTTGGTACTTTAATTTGATGAAATCCATTTCTATAAATAAATATAATTTTTATTACAGACAAAAGGGTTAATCTAATTTTAGGGAGGGGGGGGCCGCTTGACCGAGAAACCGGGAAATGACAGTAAATTTTTATCTTGACCGGGAGTTTTGAAATTTTTTGTTAAAAACACTATGATTATTTTGTAAGAAAAAGTAGAAATATTTATTTTAAGAACTTGAATTGAACTGAGACTTTTAAAACTGATAAGTAACTGATTTTAAGTAACTTGTCTTGTGAGGACACTGTTTTTAAGATATTGTCCCTACTCAGATTTTTGGACAATATTTTTAGGGAGATGGAAAAAGCGGCTGACTAATTATCAGATTGGTTTTTTAAGAAGAAAATAGAGAAGAGAAAATGGTAAAAAGTTAAAAGATTTGATTCTGTCGTTTCGGGATTGGCTCTTCTCGAACCAACCCTCATAAAGAGACTGAGTCCTCGAGGATTGTATCCTAGGTCAGTGTCTTTCTAAAATAGTAGGGATATATTATCTCTATGTTTTTGAGTTGGTAGGGATATTATTTCACGTTCTTGAGAATTTACAAAATATTGTTATAAATCTAGTTAATAATAATTTTACAATCATTTTTATAGCGTAGTTTAATTGTTTATAATTTTTAAATGTATGTAGGTTTTTGAATTTTAATTTTATCATAATTTTTAACGTAATATGGCATTATTTATTTATTTCTATTTTATGATCATTTATTTTTTTATAAATTGTTATTAATAATTTGTGAATTATGATTGGTTTATTGCTTTTATTTATTCTTTGTGGGTATTTATTTGTTATTAATTATTTTATAAACAATAAATATTTATTTATATTTATACACATTATTAATATTTATGTACGGGAAATGTAAAAGGCCGAAAGGTCATACATATGAATCCAATAAAAAAAATAAAAATACACATTATTAATAATATTAAAATATTAATTGTTTACAATTTATAATTGTTAATAATTTTTTTCATTGTTTTATTTATTATTCATTTGGAAATGAAAATTAACGTTTAAACACATTTTAGAATGTGTATATGTATATACTCTCGACCGTACCCTCAAAAGGCCGTTCTTTAGACATCTGGTCATAGGTTATATTTCAATTTATGGTTTCCTTTAACATTTGGAAACACTTTTACTTTTGTTCGGAAAAAGTATTTTTTCTGGAAGGTTAAAGTTAACTGTTAAGAAGGATGCAATTTGAACTGCCTTTTTCACGGTACAATCTGTGAGCGAAAAAAATGTAGTGTGAACGAATTTTCTTGGGAAAAAAATAATTTTCAAATGTTTGTCTACTCTCTTTAATGTTACTCTTATAGGGCCCATTTTGAGTTATTTGTAAAATAAAATTTAAAAAATAAAAGTTAAAAATATACAGGATGTAACAAATGTTTCTTAAAATTTAATTGTTACCAGAGATGTTAAAAATGGGTCTCAAAACCTACTTAAAATGCTAAATACTAAATGGTATCACAAAAAGTATTTCAAATATAAAATATAAAATAGTTTTCAAAAAGTTATTTCAAATGCAAAATAGAAAATACGCATTTTCAAAATGGTTTTACAAAATAAAATGCTTTTTTTAAATGAACTTTATTTTTACGTAACTTTTTGACTTTTCTATAAAATAAGATTGAATCCCTTTTGAAACTGTTTTATATATTATTCTATTAATTTGACTTTATACAATAAACTACTTTTTTGAAAAAATTGTAAGAAAACTTTGTCAGCAATTAAATAAAATGTCTCATTTTCGAATGCTGGATGTGAAATCCTATATAAATATTAAAACTTTGAACCTGAAAATTTCCGTTTTTAGCATGTAAAAATGAATATTTTCCCAAAAAGTTTGGTAAAATTTAAAATAAAATTAATTAGCCGGAGAACCTCCTTAAAAGAAAAAATTGCTACAATATAAAAAAATTTTTCTTGTATTTTGCATTTTCAAATACAAAATAATGAAAAAAACCATTTCAAATCAAAATGCAAAATGGTTTTCGGCAAATGCATTTAAAATGTAAAATGAAAATAGGCATTTTGCATTTTCTATTTTGCATTTGAAATAGATTTATTTGAAATAGTTAACATCTCTGATTGTTACGAAGAATTGTATTAACAACTTTTGAAAATATTTAATTGCTTTTAAGGAATTTAATTAAAATTTTAATGAAATTTATTATATTAAAGAATCTTATAACAATTTTTGAAAATAATTGAAAACTTTTTGAAGAATTTTATTAAATTTTTTTAATATAATTGAATTCTTGAGAAGAATTTAAATAATAATTTTTAAAAACAATTGAATTCATGAGAAGAATTTTATTAAAATTTTTGAAAATAATTGACTTCTTGGGAAGAATTTAAAAAAAAATTTGACAATATTGTCAAATTTAAAAAAAAAAAAAAATTCAACTTTGAATTTTGTAAAGAATGTTATTAAAATTCCTAAAAATTATTGAATTTCTGTGAAGAATTTTGTTATTTATCAAGATTTGCATTAAAAGTTTTGTAACAATTAAATAATATTAAAAAAACAACCAACTTCTAAACATAATTGGGACTTGACTTCACCAATATACTAAGCTTACAAATTTTATAAATTTTATAATTAATAAAATATAAATAATCGATCATAAATTTGAAGATTTGAAACTTTCAAAACAAAAGTTTCCAATTGAAAGTTTCAACGACACTTTGCTAAATTTGGTGTCAATTCATTATTAAAAGATAAAAGAAAAAAATAGAGGAAAGTTAGGGAAAATTTTGAAAATAGGGTACGTTTAGGGGCCAAAATTAAAAAAAGGGGACTTTTAGGGAAATAGGGGACAGACTGGGAATCCTGTTATATGTTAATTACCCATTAAATTTCGGGTAAAAAAACTCGATGAAATATACTATAAATTGATTTTTTTCAATTATTTTCTTTTTTCCAAAAGTTAATTAATCAGGGTGGCCACCGGACCTCGAAACCTTGAAATGGACGTGAATTTTGTCAAACCTTGAAAAAACCGTGAATTGGACGTGAATTTTTTAAAAACCTTGAATTTTAGTATTATATATTATTTAAATCGGAAAAAAAAATTTTCGACCATTTTCAAAATTTTATTTTTGAAAAAATTAAAATTTTTCAGGCTTACCACAGGTCAAGGAAATCAGGGAAAAGTCAGGGTAAGTAAAATTGGTCAGGGAAGTCAGGGAAAAGTCAGAGATTTTTATTTAAGTAACTGGAAAAAATTGAATTTTGGAGAAGTTACAAATGATTGCAGAAATTCAATTATTTTCAAAAGTAATAAAATTCTTCGCAGAAATTCAATTATGTTCAAAAATTTAAAAAAAATTCTCATAACAATTCAATTATCTTTAAAAATAATAAAATTCTTCTCCAAACTTCAATTATTTTCAAAAATTTTAATAAAATTCTTTGCAAAATTTCAAATATTTTCAAAAAATTTTACTCAATTCAATGATTTTCAATATCTATAGTTTTAATAAAATTTTTCAAAATAGTGACATTTTTTGAAGAATTTACTTATAATTGTATTAAAAATAATTGAAATCCTGTGAAGAATTTTATTAATTTATGAAAGTAATTGAATTCTTGCAATGAATTTTTTCAATTTTTTTTTTTAAATAATTGAAATAATGTAAAGAATCTTATTATTTATGAAAATAATTGAATTCCTGCATCGAATTTTATTACATTTTTTTAAATAATTGAATTCTTTTGAGAACTTTCATTAAAAAAGTAGATTGTGAAAATATTTGAATTTCAACGAAGAATTTCATTATATTCGTGAAATGTAATCAAATTCTTACAAAAAAATTAAGAGAATAATTCAATTTTTCTAGGAATTTACTTTAAATTGTATTTAAAAATAATTGAAACCATGTGAAGAATTTTATTATTTATGAAAATAATTGAATTGTTGCAACGAATTTTATTATAATTTTTGTAAATAATTTAATTTTTTTTTTTTTTTGAAAAATTTTATGGAAATTAAAATTTTTATAAGTTGTTGAATTTTAAACATTTTTGAATTTGAATGTTTTGAAGAATTTTAATTCCTATGGAAAAATAATAATTAAATACTTAGGGGAGAGTGGGGCAAACCGGACCCCCTAACGGTTTTTTGACTCTTGTAACTAAACGAATCAACCGATTTCATTTTTCGATGGCTTGTTTGAAAGATCATTTAATTGCGCAACTTTTTCCCAGAGACACCTATACTTTATCTTTTATTGTTTAGTTGCTGTGTTAACTTTAAAAAAATTCTGCAAACGGTCCGGTTTGCCCCACCCCCTGGGGTAAACCGGACCGTTTGGTTTTTTATTTATAATATTGCATTTACATAATCTACAATAATAAAAAACATAAAGAATCATGTAAACAATGGTTGTAGTAATGAAAATAATAATACGGGATTGAATTTTAATTGAATAAATATTTTTTTTAATAAAAAAATAAAAATGTTTGTCATTATCAGAGAAACAATATTAAAGGGTCCAATTCTCATTGGAAGACAATTATTTTTCATTGTAAGTAAATATTTTAATGAAAGAAACGTTTTATTTAAAAATAATTTTTATGAAACTTTAATTCAATGGAAATATCCTATGGCCGGTTTGCCCCACAGGCCCATTTTGAGAATAAATGTTTGTCAAAAAGAAACGCTTTGCAAATTCATCAAAGTTTTTGGTGGTAAATATTCCTGAGGTGTGTACCTTCAGAACCTAAGACCTAATATTTGGAAACATTACACGATTTCCTCAGAATTTCCTTAAGAAAACATTCGAAAAAGTGTAGAAAAAAACTAAAAAAAAAAACTTTTCCTCCCTTCGTCGCACAAACGCAAGCTAAAACTGCCAGATTGAAAAAATAAGGTATACTAAACATAGTTGTTTTAAATTTGTAAACAACACTTTTTCCAATTTCGACATTTCGGAAATATTGAGGGGGGTCCGGTTTACCCACCGGTCCGGTTTGCCCCACTCTCCCCTATTTAAAAATTTAGTTTTTGATGTTTGCAAATAATTTTACAATTTAAGAAATTCGTAAGTAAATGTAATAGAATGTTTTTTTGAGTATCTAATAATTTTTAGAGTGAATCAGAATATTCTTTATGGTCAGGGAAAAAGTGAAAATTTTGTCTGGAAATCAGAAAAGAGTCAGGGAAAAATAAAATTAAATATTTGTGGCAACCCTGAATTTTTTAAAATCTATACGATTGATTGTTCAGAATCGTAAGAAAAGCCTATAAAAAATTCGGCAATAAAAAATAATAATAAATGTGGAAGTAGTTGAATTTTTTAAGATTTCTATAGTAAAATTTGAACCAACAAAAAAACCTTGAAAATTTCCTAGAAAACTTGAAAAAACCGGGAAATAGACGTGAATTTTATTCACGAGTTTTGGTGGCCACCCTGATTAATTAATGTTATTAATAAAAGTGAAATTATATAAAACTTGTTACTTCAGGAATACTAAAATATGATTTCTAATGTACTTAAAAATTTTTTAAATGTTAAAAACTTTATTTTATAGCAACATATCGATTTTTTCATACTTTGTTATAAATGTAAATAAACAAAAATCGATAGAAATTTTAGTAACGAAGATTTAAAAAAAAATTTGTTTAATTTGAATTTTGGAGTTGCTGATCACGAATGAAGGTAGATACTAAAATCTTACGGATTCTGAAAGCTTAAAACTTGGGCAAGAGATAAGATTTAGCCAAAGTTTAAGTTATTGTATTATTTAATAATTTGGAGAACAAAATTCAATTATCGTTCGTTACTTTTAACAACTATTTCTCTGCGTGCAATAAGACAAGTGAATAAATAAGGGGTTAATGTATTATTAATTATTATTGATGCATATTACTCACTGAGGAGAGATATCCGACGTAGACAGAGAAGTTGTACTTCCTCCTAAACTTGAAGCTTCACTCAATTCATCTTTCTCTTCCAGCACAACATCATTCAAACTAACATCATTGTCATTTACCAAATCTTCTCTTGAGCCAGAGTAAAATGTTTTATCATTGTCATTCATAACTGTAAAAAAATATAAATGATTCTTTACTGAAAAGAATGTCCAACTTATTAAGAACAAGAATTCGTAAGTGAATGTAGAGCAATTTTTACCTATTGTATTATCAATATTTAATGGTCTGTTTGGTTCATTGTAGATCGAAACTGGAGGTGGTGGTGGCATATTCATGAATTGTTGTGGGTGCCTAACTTGCTGTTGCCAGTTGCCCATCATGTTCTGCCTTGGAAAGCCTTGATATCCATGATTCATTAGATACATAGGCGGCGGCGGGAATCTGGGATCCATTTGGGGTGGATAAATTCCCGGTCGTGGATGAGGTGGCGGAATATTTGACATGCGATGCACTATATGCCTATGTGAAATTTGAAAAGCTTGATGAACACTTTCAGCCAAAGGTATAGCTGGCTTTAGGAGAATTTGAGATATTTTCAAGTTGAAATCATCCAGGTGAGAGAATTCGGTTTTCGAATTTAGTAAATCAACCAATCTTTTATGTTCATTCTGCGAAAAAAAAGAATACACGTTTCAAAATGTACAACTTGTTCAAATATTTCCATAAATCAAATTTTTCCTGATAAAAACAGACTTCGGATAGACTTTAACGCAGGGCTCGAACTAGGTTCGTAAATTCTGTAAAGGTCCGTAAAAGTCAGTATTTTAAAAAAAACGTTCGTAAAATCCGAAATTTGTTTTAAAAATACTGAAAACTAATTTTATTTAACACCTTCTTAGAAAAATTTTTGGAACCAAGGCCACAATATCAATAAATTTATTTGACAAAAATTAAGGTCCTTGAAAACATTCTAAGTTTTAAAAAAGTACGAAAAATCCGTAAAGTGTACGATACAATTTGAAGAATTTTAGAGAAGTTACAAATTATTTGAGAAATTCAATTATCATCGAAAGGAAAATCGATTATCATCGAATAAAATTTTTCGCAGACACTCAATTGTGTTAAAAAATGTTTTTAAAATTCTAGTCAAAATTTCAATTATCTTTATACACGGAGAGACCCACATTCGTAAAAATTACTAAAAATGGTTGCAATGACCGGAAATAAGGGGACTTTTAGCATAATGTGCTACAGAATTAGATAAATTTACAAAAGAAATAGATAAATTTGCTACATTGAAATAGCAAGTTTTAATATTTTGTGTAAGAGTTGTAAATGTAGCAAAAATTGATTATAGTTTTCTCTAATTTAATTAGACAAAATCTGACAAATGAAAACATTTTCCACTAAAACCTACGATCCACTGTAGTAATTTTTGGTGAGCAAGTGTGGCTAGCGAGTGCAGTCATATGGCGCCTGCATTTCTATTGGTTGCTAACTTTGTCAATCTCCGTAAATGAGCCGATGCCATCCGATCATTGACAGTGACTATGTTTCGCGTATGCAAAATAAATTTGGATATTATCTACAATAATTAAATATAAAGTGAAACGTAGGTCGTTCGTTATCTCAGAAATTGACCATTATAAATTAATAAACTTTGCATTTATTCCTGTCCCAAGAACTATGTCTTATAATAAGTTGTTAAAAGTACACTGCTTTCTCGTAAGTGCTGTAAATTTTCATCATTCAATATATAAGGAAACAAAGATGTATGCTTTCAGTGAAATTCGTTGTCGTGCGTGCAGTTGTGTATTAGTGTATTAATTAACCGCGTCTATACATATAAGTGAAATAAACATGTGTGTGTCTTCAAATATTTATCCAACAAATATATAAGTGTGTGTGTGTGTGTGTGTGTGTGTGTGTGTCTGTGTATATAAAAATTCTTCCAGTTTGTCTCCATTAGTCAAGAATTGACGGGAAATCGGCGACAAAAATCCGTATTTTTTCTTTCACTCTTTCTTTCTGCATTTACAAACGACTGTAGTAATTTTACGTACACAATGCTTCTGAGTTTACTACAGTTGTTTGGAACTATTGGACGAAATAGTAAGAAACTTTGCTAATTTGGTGAACATTTGTCGGGATTAGTGACTTAGTGTAGAAAATAGTAAAAAATACAAAAAGTTCCCTTATTTCCGGTGGTTGCAATGTGAAAATAGTAAATTCTAGTGTGATTTTATACAAAAATTAGTAATCTCGGTCTCTCCGTGTAAATAACAAAATTTTTCTCGGAAATTCCATTATTTTCAAGAATTTATATAAAATTCTTAGCAAAATTTCAATTAGTTCAAAAAATTTTCCTCAATTCAATAAAAATGGTAGATATATTGAAAATCATTATTTTCAACATCTACTATTTTAATAAAATTTTCCAAAAGAATTCAATTCTTTAAAAAAAAGTTAATACAATTTTACGCAAACATTTGATTATTTCCATAAGTAATACAAATTTCACAGGAATTCAATTATTTATCAAAATTTCTTTCTTCTTGAAAATTATCAATTATTTTCAAAAAATTTTCCTCAATTCAATGATTTTCAATTCTACTATTTTAATGAAATTTTTTGAATTATTTTTAAAAATTATAGTCAAATTCATTGCAAGAATTCAATTATTAGTATTAATAATAAAATTCTTCTCAGAAAGTAAATTATTTTTAAAAAATTTCATAATATTAATTACAGGAATTCAATTATTTTCAAAAATAATAAAATTCTTTTTAGGAATTTAATCATGTTTATAAATAATTAAACTCATCGTAGAATTTCAATTATTTTTAATACAATTTTCATCGAATTCTTAGAAAAATGTAATTATTTTAAAAAATTTTATTAAAATTCATCGAAAGAATTTAATTATTTAAAAATTTGTTGATAAAATTCTTTATGAGAATTTAATTTTAAGAAACATTTAATTATTCAATAAATTAAAATTATTCTAAATAAATAAATTGAATTAAAATTTTCTAACAAGAATTGATTTAAAAATAAATTACAGTTTAAATTTTGATAATAATTGAATATTAAAAAATTAGTGTGAATCTTTAAAAATAATTGAATTTTAAAAAGGTTTTAAATTAAAATATTTCAAAGTTTGAATTTTTTGAACAAATTTTTTTTGAACAATTCTGTAGAACTAATTTTTTTAAAAATTTTAATTGATTTTTTTTTTTTTTTAAATTATTTGAAATCGAAATTACAAAATTCAAAATGGCGGATTAAATATGTCCGACAAATTAGTCGAATTTTTGAAAATAAATAATTAACATTATTTTAAAAAATTAAAAGCAATTATTTGAAAGAAATCAATTATCTTGATAAAGATCTAAATTCTTTCCAAAAATTCAATTATGTTAAAAATTTTTTTAATTTCTCGTCAAAATTGCAGTAACCTTTGTAAATAATAAAATTCTTCTATAAAATGCATTATTTTTAATAATTTTTGAAAAAATTCTTTGAGAATTTTCAAATTCATTTGTTAACAATTCAATTTTACAAAATTTCAATTATTCGTAAATTCTTCAATATTAAATATGTATTTTAAAAAATAAAAACTTTAAATAATTTCAAAAAAAATCCGCAATTAAAGTTTTTTAAAAAAAATTAACTCCACAGAATTGTAAGTTAAAAGTATGAAAAATTCAGGTTTTCAAAGATTTTAATTTGAAACATTTTCAAAATACAATTATTTCTAAAAATCTATGCTATAATGCTTTTAATATTAAATTATAATATAAAATTTTAACTGAAATCCATTTTTTTAAATTAATTTTTATTATAAAAGCCAACTAGAATTCAATTATTTAAATACAAAAAAACAATTTATTGAATAATTGCGTTTCTTAAAATTGAATTCTCATAAAGAATTTTATCATCAAATTTTTAAATAATTGAATTCTTTTGATGAATTTTAATAAAATTTGTAATAATAATTACATTCTTCGAGGAATTCGAATAAAATTGTATTAAAAATAATTCACGGTTGTCTTCAAGCACTTTTAGGTTTACCTAAAATGAGTCAAAATTGTGCTAACGCAGTTTTATCTGGAATCGGCGCAAGATTCCAAATTTTCATTTCCGAAAATCGTAGCTGATTCTTTTTTCGAAAAAAACCAAAAAAACATATATATATCACGGTGGTCTTCAAGCACTTTTAGGTTTACCTAAAATGAGTCAAAATTGTGCTAACGCAGTTTTATCGGGAATCGGCCCAAGATTCCAAATTTTCATTTCCGAAAATCGTAGCTGATTCTTTTTTCGAAAAAAACCAAAAAAACATATACAGTACGAAAACCTACCACGTCAGTCATATCCCATGAGTGGGAGTGAGACAGACTTATGCGATTCCCATACTTTCCTATGACTGACGGATAGCTTTTCTTACTGTATATATATGGGCAATTCCACGTGAGATTTTAGTCGACGTCTTGAAATCGACCAAAAATATTTTTTTTCTATTCTGTATCGAAAAAAACAGATACGTATTTTTTTATTTTTGTTTAATTGTCCAAATTTTCGAGTTATGAATTTTCGAAATTTTGGACTTGTAATTGTAGACCTATATTTAGTAGCTTATAAGTCTGAAAATATTGAGTTTAGGAAAAATTTGTCACAGAATGAAAGTTTTAGTTTTCTTTCGACTTTTAAGAAATGTAAACAAAAAATTTTTTTAAAATTTTTTATTAAAAAAAATTTTTTTTTTTTTTTATAAACAAATTAATTTTTTTTAACTTTAGCCCGGATTTTTTTTATTTCTTTTAAATTTATTTATTCCTTATAATATATAGAAGATTTTTCAAAAAGTCCCGAGGTGGGACTGATGTGTTGAATGAGTTTTAAAACATTTTCAAAAATCACTTGCAAGCATCACAGTGGGATTTTTTTACAATTAACTTTTTAAAACTGTCTACAGTGTATAATTTTAATCTATTTGAGAGTTCTTTTTTTAAATTAAAGGATCTACGCTGTATAGACAATTTTAGAAGTTAATTGTAAAAAAAAATCCCACTGTGATGATTGCAAGTAATTTTTGAAAATGTTTTAAAACTCATTCAACACATCAGTCCCACCTCTCGGGATTTTTTGGAAAATCTTCCTCTATATTATAAGGAATAAATAAATTTAAAAAAAATAAAAAAAATCCGGGCTAAAGTTAAAAAAAATTAATTTGTTTATAAAAAAAAAAAATTTTTTTTAATAAAAAATTTTAAAAAAATTTTTTGTTTACATTTCTTAAAAGTCGAAAGAAAACTAAAACTTTCATTCTGTGACAAATTTTTCCTAAACTCAATATTTTCGGACTTATAAGCTACTAAATATAGGTCTACAATTACAAGTCCAAAATTTCGAAAATTCATAACTCGAGAATTTGGACAATTAAACAAAAATAAAAAAATACGTATCTGTTTTTTTTCGATACAGAATAGAAAAAAAATATTTTTGGCCGATTTTAAGAGGTCGACTAAAACAGGGTGGCCACTTTTTTTGTAAAAAAAAATTCACGGTCATTTCCCGGTCCATTCCCGGTCATAAATTATTTTTCCCGGTCATAAATAATAACTCTGAAAATAAATTATTCAATGAAAGATTGAAAGAATTTCCTGATTTTTAGACAAAACTTTGACTTTTTCCCAAACCCTAAAAATATTTTAGTTTACTCTAAAAATAATTTTGAACTTAAATAGATTTTTTGAAATAAATATTTAATTATTATCCATTATTTTTCCATATAGTAGGTACTCAAATTTCAAAAAAAATTCAAATTTCAAATCCTTTAAATTTGAATAATTTTTAAGAATTGCTACTGCAACTTATTAAAAATTATTTTCAAAATTTCAATTCAATTATATTCTAGAAATAACTAAAATATTTCTAAAATCCACTTGTTTACAAGACAATTTCATGAAATTTTGAATAATTTGAAAATTTTTCAATTAAATATTACATATTTAAAAACATACACTACCGATGTACGGCTGCACACGCTCGGCCCAAAAACATACCAATCTTTAAGGCACGATTTTTTTGTAAATAAAAATGTCAGAAAATTAAAAAATATACCATTCGAAAGATTATTAAATTCTACGATTAATGATACATAACTGAAAATTTTAATAATTTATACAAAGATTGCAGCAATCGACAAATTTGACAAAAAAATTTTAAAAATACAATTTTTTTGGAAATTTTTTCAACCCCTGCACATTTTTCAAAAATTGCAGAAAAAATTTGAAACTTGTATAGGTGTGATCATTCAAGTCGCATCTTTAATTTAAGACCAAAAGAATTCAAAAATCTTAATCGGTTAGTGAGATATCATTATAAATGGACGAGCATTTTCAGCCAAAAACCGTTCAAAATCGACTAATTCAATGCATTTGTCAAAAAACATGCTCGGACGTTTATAATGATATATCACGAACCGAATAAGATTTTTAAACTCTTTTGGTCTTAAATTAAAGTAGAAATTTGAATGATCACACTTATATAAGTTTCAAATTTTTTCTACAATTTTTAAAAAATGTGCAGGGGTTGAAAAAATTTCCAAAAAAATTTTATTTTTTATATTGTTTTGTCAAATTTGTCGATTGCTGCAATCTTTGTATAAATTATTAAAATTTTCAGTTATGAACCATTAATCGTAGAATTTAATAATCTTTCGAATGGTATATTTGTTAATTTTCTGACATTTGTATTTACAAAAAAATCATGATTTAAAGATTGGTATGTTTTTGGGCCGTGCGTGTGCAGCCGTACCGATAATTCCCGACGGTAGTGTAACTAATTTGAAAAAATGTAAATAAAAATATTTTTAAAAACTGACTTATTCAGAATTTTTAATTAAAATCTTTTAAAATTCAACTTTTCTAAAACTTAAATTTGAAATTTTTTAAAATTCAATCTATAATAATTATTAATTTAACATTCTAAAATACAGAAAAGTTTGCTTATCAATAATTGCAAAAAAAAACTAATTGATATTAATGAAAAATACGGTTTTTTAAAATTTATTTTCTAAGAAAAGAAATTTTATTTATTTTTATTTACTTTATTTATTATTCAAAAATTCATTTTTATAAATTTTGTATCACTTTTGTTCTAATTAGTTCAAATTTTTAATAATTCTTATTTGTTTTGTTATAATATTAATTGCAAAAAAATTTTTAAATTGATTTATTTTTCATTATTTTATAGGATGTGAAATTTTTTCTCTTTGAAATTTTTTTGACAAATTTAATTAAAATTATATTTTGTTTAATTATTGTTAGAAATAGAAAGAATTTAAAATTAAATTTAATATTTTCTTTTTCTAAGTCTGTTATGTTGGACAACAAAATTCATAATTTTCTTATAAATTCTATAAATTGAATATTTTTATAGTACTTTTTATAAAATTCTCTGACAAAATATAAATAGATTTTATAGAAGATCATTCAATCTTTTTTAATGAAATATAGTTAATACCTAAGTCTTAAAATAAATATTTCTATTTTTTCTCACAAAGTAATGTGTGTTTTTAAAAAAAAAATTCCAAAATCCCGGTCAAGATCAAAATTCACTGTCATTTCCCGGTTTTTCCCTGTCCAAAAAAATTCACTGTCATTTCCCGGTTTTCCCGGTTTCCCGGTCCAGCGGCCACCCTGTAAAAGCTCACGTGGAATTGCCCATATATATATAATATATATATATATGTTTTTTTGGTTTTTTTCGAAAAAAGAATCAGCTACGATTTTCGGAAATGAAAATTTGGAATCTTGCGCCGATTCCAGATAAAACTGCGTTAGCACAATTTTGACTCATTTTAGGTAAACCTAAAAGTGCTTGAAGACCACCGTGAATTGAAATTGAAATTCTGCAATGAGTTTTATTATTTATGAAAATAATTGAATTCCTAAAAAGAATTTTATTATTTACGACAATAATTGAATCCCTGTAAAAATGTTATTATTTATGAAAATAATTAAAGGTTTTTGTAGAATTTTTTTTTTAAATAATTGAATTCTTTTGGAAAATTTTGTTAAAATAGTAGATATTAAAAATTATTAAATTAAGGAAAAATTTTTGAAAATAATTGAAAGTTTGCCAAGAATTTTATTAAAATTTTTGAAAATAATTGAAATTTTGGAGAAAAATTTAATTACAATTTCTAAAGATAATTGAAATTTTGACGATAATTTAAAAAAAATTTTGAACATAATTGAATTTCTGCGAAGAATTTTATTACTTTTGAAAATAATTGCATTTCTGCAATTATTTGTAATTTCTCTGAAATTCTCCAAATTATATCGTAGAATTTACGAACTTTTCATCCTTTTTCAATCAAATTACGGACTTTACGGATCTTTTTTCAAAGAAACGGACATTGTTCGAGCCCTGTTATTGTAAAAAATGTATTATAGTTATTGCAAAAATTCCTTTTTAACATTGTTACATATTACAAGAAGAGAATTAAACGATTCTTCCAAAGTATCAATTATCAAAGTTGATTTTTTCAACTGTATGTGGCGTCTTCCAAAATGTGAATTTTATTCAGGGAGACAGTTTCCAGACAACCAATTTTACAAAAATAAATGATTTTTATGGGACAACATAAATAAAACTTTTTACCTGTTGAGCAGTCATCACCTCTTGCATATTGGTCTTAACTTTATACCATTCTTGCATTTCAGGAAATAACTTTATTCGTAAAACATCATTTGCATATTTATTTACGCTATTAAAGACATGTATTGCTGTATTGCATTGCTCTATGTGACTGTAAAATAAAAAAAAGTTATGAAACATTTTATATGCAAACAATTTTTGATTTAAACACAAATGTTCAACTTACCCGTTTAATAAATTCCCATTAGCTTTCAATTGTTCATCAAGCCATTTTCTAAATAACATTTTTGTCCATTCTAAAGAAGATTCTCGTTCTTTCCTAAAATATTCAAAAAAAAAATATTATGTGGAATTACATAATTTACAGAACTTTGAATTGATTAAAAAAAATAATTAATTTTAAAAAAATTACTCTAAATCTGATGATCTGGACTGCAACTCTCCGGTTACTTTAATTTTATCGTTTTCGCTCTTCTCAAGCTCACATTTCAAATCTTCCTTTTCTTGAAGGACTGTCATCATATTTTCACGTAACTTAGCATAATCTTGAATTTGCGAGTTGTATCGAATTTTTAAATTTTCATTTTCGACTGATAACTTATTCCGCTCTTCTTCGTAACTTTTCACTATAATACCGTTATCATGGTACATTTGAGCAATTCTCTGCTCAGCAACATTTTTCTTTCTAGTTACTATATCTATTTGATTATTTAAATGTTTAATATGATCAACACACTGTTTATAAATAACGTCGTCCATATTTTTAATGTTGTCTAACTGCAAAAAGAAAGTAACATTTTGTATTATTGTATGTACTGTAATACCAAAATTCCCGACTTTTTTTTTCTCATCAAATTTAAATTTATTTGATTTCGAACATAAATAAATCTACAAATGGCTTCCAAAATTGTTATTACAGTTTTTATAAATGATTAAATTCTTTTGACGAATTTCTTTATATTTTTTGAAAATGATGTTTTTTTTAATTAATTATAATTAAAAATTTGGAAAATAATTGAATTTCAGAGAAGAATTTTATTATTTATAAAGATAATTGCAATTTTGACGAGAATTTTTAAAAAATATTTGAACATAAGTGAATTTTTGGAAAAAATTTTGATATTTATCAAGATAACTGATTTCTTTCAAAGAATTGCATTAAATTTTTTGAAATAATATTAAATATTTATTTTAAAAAATTCGATTAATTCGTCCAAAATTTTGAATACACCGTTTTGAATTTTGATTTCAAATAATTTCAGAAAAAATTCAAATAAACATTTTCCAAAAAATTAATTCTGCAAAATTGTTAGTTAAAATTGTAAAAATTCAAATTTTCAAAGATTTTAATTTGAAACATTTTTAAAATTCAATTATTTCTGAAAAAATTCATTCTATAATGCTTTTAATATTCAATTATTATCTAAAATTTTAACTGAAATTCATTTTTAAATTTATTTATTAAGAATAATTTAATTTATTGAATAATTAAATGTTTCTTCAAATTGAATTCTCACAATGAATTTTATTAACAAAATTTTTAAATAATTGAATTCTTTCGACGAATTTTAATAAAATTGTATTAAAAATAATCGAAATTCTGCGATAAGTTTTATTATTTAATAACATAATTGAATTTGTAGAAAGAATTTTTTTTATTTATGAAAATAATTGAATTCTTGTAATTCATTTTTTGTTTGCCTTATAAACTATTAAACTACCACGAATTCTAATACAAAACATTCAAAATTTTTTTCTATTAATTTCTGACCAGAATGAATTTTTTAATATTATTTAATTATTTCAAAAGTTTTAATGCAATTATTTTCAAAAATAACAAAATTCTTCACAAAGATTTAATTATTTTTAAGAATTATGAATAAAATTCTCTGCAAAATTCAATTATTTTTATAAATGACAATATATTCATCACAAGAATTTAATTATTTTCAAAAGTAATAAAATTCTGCGAAGAAATTCAATTACTTTTACAAATTTTAACGAATATCTCGTCAAAAATTCAATTATCTTTATAAATAGCAAAATTTTACGCCAAAAATTCAATTATTTTCAAAAATTTATAAAAATCTTTGCAAAAGTTCAATTATTTTCAAAAGTTTTTCGCATTTCAATAATTTTCAAATATTCACTATTTTCATAAAATTGATCAAAAAATTTAATTATTGAAAAAATATTTGATACGTTTCTACGAAGATTCAATTATTTTCATAAATAATAAAATTTCATTTAGGAATTCAATTATTTTCATCGCAGAATTTTAAATATTTTTAATCCAATTTTAAATAAATTTCTCGAAAAATGCAATTAATCTCAAAAAATTTTTTAAAACCCGACGAAAGAATTCAAATATAAGAAATATTCAATTATTCAATAAAATAATAAAATTCGTTGCAATGATTCAATTATTTTCATGAATAACTTTTAATTCATCGCAGAAAATCAATTATTTTCAAAAAATTTTAAATAATTGTGAAAAACAATTCAATTATCTTGATAAACAACAAAATTCTCCCCATAAAATCAATTATTTTAAGGAATTTTAATAAAATTCTTTTCCAAAATTCAATTATTTTCATAAGTATAAAAATTCTTCACAAGAATTCAATTCTTTTAAAAAGTAATAAAATACTTGTCAAAAATTAAATTATTTTCAAAACTTTTTTCAATTCTCGTTAAGAATTAAATTATCTTTATAAATAAATAGCGAAATTCTTCTCAATAATTATAAATATTTTCAAAAATTTTAATAAAATTCTTGGGAAAAATTTCAATTATTTAAACAAAATTTAATAAAATTCTTTGCATAAATTCAATTATTTTCATAAATTATTATTTAAATTTATTCTTCTCAGGAATTCGAGTATTTTTAAAAATTTTTATAAAATTCTTCAAAAAGTTTTCAATTATTTTCAAAAATTGTCATAAAATTCTTTAATATAATAAATTTCAGTAAAATTTTAATTAAATTCCTTAAAAGAAATTAATTATTTTCAAAAGTTATTAATAAAATTCTTCGTAAAAATTTCCAATATAGCATGGATTTTTAGAAATACATAATTGAATTTTGGATAGGATTCAAATTCAAATCTTTGGAAATCTAAATTTTTCGTACTTTTAACTAATAATTGATTTAAAGAAAATTTTAATTAAAAATTCTTGAAAATAATAATTGAATTTAAATGATGAAAATAATTTCGAAGAAGTTAGAGTAACAATATTCTTATATAAAATAATAATTTTATCCCTGGGTTGTTAATTCTTATAAAAACATGAAGAAATCGATTACTAATTGACTTCTTCATGTTTATAATAATATTCTTATAAGTTATTAAATTTTAAGATTTAAATATGAAATTTTTGAAAATCTCAATTTTAATGGAAAAATAATAATGATTGAATAATTATGATAAATAAAACAATTGTTTTCAAAGAATTAAATATTGTGAAAAATTGTATAAAAATTTTGTTAAATATTAGTTTTTTTCGAAAATGCTATTCTAAATTAATTGAATTCCTGTGGAAATCTTATTATTTATGAAAATAATTGAATTTCGAATATTTTTTTAAAATAATTGAATCATTTTAAAGAATTTGATTATAATTTTTTATTCTCAAAAAATAAACAGAAATATTAGCTTATTATTTATTAATTTTTTTTTAAAATGATGCAAAAATTTGTTATTGTAAAAAAAGTTATAAAAATTTTAAATTTTGAAAAATGATTTAAAGCGTTTCTTTAGTTCGTTATGAACTATCGATTTTCATAAATGTTTATACTTTTACAAAAAACTTTAAAAATTTTATTCCTGGTTCACGTGGTTTGACCGCATACAGAAAAGATTATATATTAAATAATGAATTTCTCACTTCTCTTACTTTTTTATATATAGATTACGTCTGTCATAAGCAGGTTGATATTTTATGAACAAATTTTAATCATTTTCAGTGAAGAGTTTTTCAGTGTTTACACAAAGCTAAATATTTGTTTGAAAAAACATTTTTGTTGCAAAATTTTAATGAATCACCACATACCTGATGTAATTCATATTATTATAAACATTTCTCAATAACTCTGTTATGTTGTACAAACACAGGGAAAGTATAAGTGAAAATTACCTATGGTTTTTTGTTTTTACGACAAAAAATTAGTTTTCTTAAAATTTAAGTCAACTTAATTTAAACACAAAAAAAGGAGTAATTGATATAATTTTTTTCTAAATTTTTATAAAATAAGTAGAATATTCAACAGAAAGCCAAATGACAATTTATTTAAAATTCTACATTAATGAAAACTTTCTAAATGCCAAATTTATATATAAACAAAAAATTAAAAATAAGAATAAGTCATTTTTTTTAACTAATACAGAAAATTATATTCAGGAAATGTCTATTGTTTTTGTATATTATAAAATAAAGTCTCAATATACCACCGTTGGGAAATGATAACTCACGTATTCACTTATTATGAATCACAAATCACGTCACGAGTAATAATTATTATCTTGTTTTTCATAATAATTACTAAATACTGAATTAAATGACATATTTTACTATTTATCGTATTTATATTTCATTAAAACCTAACCTTCAAAGCACTTTTTGAAATAATAAACTATTAATGAGATTTAATTGATAAACAATACAAGTGTAAAATATAAAAGAATTACATTTTTGTTTTTATAAAGAGTGTTGTTAGAAGATAAATCCAGTAATGAATAAATTTTTTGGTTTAACGTGTTATTATAATTTTTCTTTCCTGCTTTTTTAAAAACACACTTGAATCTTTTAAGGTGCGTTCATATTTTGTAAGGTAGCACCAAGGAACATAAGCATAGGCTGATTTTACAATGGCAGCATTTGCGTTGCGTTTTGTTAAGGTTTAGGGTGCGATCCCATGTGAGCAGAATACGTCGACCGAAAGCAGAAAATTATGAATGGAAAAGAGATAGGTAGATATTGTTGTTCTTTTCACTCTCATAATTTTCTGCTTTCGGTCGACGTATTCTGCTCACATGGGATCGCACCCTTAAAGGCCAACGTAGAATGAATACGGATACGAGAACAGAAAATGCAAAAGAAAATGACAGAAGTTGTCTGCGTCCTTTTCTTCCCAATGCCTCGTACCCGTAACCGTGTTCATTCTGCGTTGGCCTTCACCTTTGGAGGGCCGGTAAATTTGCACGAATTTTAGTAGTTTTTTATTATAAATAAAATTAAATAAAAAATCAATTCGACAAAAAGATTAGACAAAATAAATAGTGGTCACCCCGGCCCTCTCAAGGTTAAGCACAACTGCTTCCCGAACGCAAAGCATGAGTTAGAAAAGGACAGATATATATATTTATTGCTCTTTTGATTCCTAACTTTTTGAATGTTTTAAATTTTTAAATTAATGTACTGAAAATCATTTAATTCTTGCAAAGTATTTGTCAAAAAATTTGAAAATAATTTAATCCACTTCAAGAATTTTATCAACATTTCTTTAAATAATTGAATTCCTTCGAGAAAATGTAATTCAAATTGTTTTGAAAATAATTTAATTGTAAGCAAGATTTTTATTAAAATATTTTAAAATAATTGAATTGTTTTGAAGAATTCATTTCAATATTCTTGAAAATAGTGCAGTTTTTTAAAAATAATTTTTGAAAATTTTGAAAGTAATTGAATTTTATGAAGAACAGGACTCGGATCGTCTTTAAGACTCAAAAAAAGTCGCTTTAGTCGCATAAATTTACAACAAAAGTCACGAAAAGTCGCATAAAATTTCCGAAAAAGTCGAAAAAAAGTCGCATTAAATCTTAGAAAAAATAAAAAAAACGACAAAAAGAAAACACAAAATTGTCAAAAAATCACATTTCTCGACAACAGATACATTAATATCAAACAATCCGGAATAAAATTTTAAAAAATTTAATAAAATTCATAGCAAAATTTTAATTATGTATTATTAACATTTTTTTTTAAATTCTCTTTAAAATGTCAATTATTTTTATAAATAATAAAATTCTTCGCAGAAATTCAATTATTTAAAAGAAAATTTAATAAAACTCTTCTCTAAAATTCAATTATTTTCAAAAGTAATAAAATTCTTCGCAGAAATTCAATTATATTCAAAATTTTATAAATAATAAAATTCATCATAAAAATTTTATTATTTTCAAAAGTTCTGATAAAATTCTTTGCAAAATTCAATTATCTTAAAAAGTAAGAAAATTCTTTACAGAAATGAAATTATTTTCAAAATTTTTTTTTAAATTCTCCTCAAAATTTCAATTATGTTTATAAATATCAAAATTCTTCTGCAAAATTCAATTTCTTTTAAACATTTAAAAAAAAAATCTGTTTAAAATTTTAATTATCTTTGTGAATAATAAAATTCTTCTCTGAAATTCAATTATTTGCAAAAATTTTAAATAAAATTCTTATCAAAGGTTAAATTATCTTTATAAATAATGAAATTCATCCTGGAAATTTAATTATTTTCAAAAGTTTTGTTAAAATTCTTTGCAAAATTCAATTATCTTCAAAAAGTAAGAAAATTCTTGGCAGAAATTAAATTATTTTTCAATTTTTTTTTCAATTCTCCTCAAAATTTCAATTATTTTTATAAATATCAAAATTCTTCTGCAAAATTCAATTACTTTTAAACATTTTTAAAAACATCTGTTTAAAATTTCAATGATCTTTGAGAGTAATAAAATTCTTCTCTAAAATTCAATTATTTGCAAAATTTTTTTAAAAATTCTTGTTAAAATTTCAATTATCTTTATAAATAATAAAATTCATCCTAGAAATTAAATTATTTTAAATTTTTTTTTAAATTTCTCGTCAAAATTTTAATTATTTTCATAAATAATAAAATTCATCCTGGAAATTTAATTATTTTCAAAAGTTCTGTTAAAATTTTTTGCAAAATTCAATTATCTTCAAAAAGTAAGAAAATTTTTGGCAGAAATAAAATTATTTTCTAATTTCTTTTTAAATTCTCCTCAAAATTTCAATTATCTTAGTAAATATCAAAATTCTTCTGCACAATTCAATTACTTACTAATGTTTTATAAATTTGTTCCCAATAATTCATATATTTTTATAAAAAATAATTAAAAATTTCTTTTTACAAAGTCTTATAATATAAAATATAATGATTTTATCACTCGGTCATCTTTAATTATTATAAAACATGAAGACATCGATTGTTAAAATAAATGTATTTATTATTAATTGTAATTAACAATTTTCTTGTTAAATTATATATAAAATTATTCATAGAAAATTAAATTCTTTTAAACAATTTTAGTAGAATTTTTGTAAATAATAACATTTTTTTTTGTAAAATTTCATTAAATTTCGTAAAAATAATGTAAAATAATTGTAATTGAAAATTTTGAAAATAATTGAAATTTACAAATAATTTTATTGAAAAATTTTCAGAACATTTGAATTGTATAGAAAAATTTTGTTACAATTTTTTAAAATAATTGAACCTGTTAGAGAAATTTTATTGAAATTATTATCTTGAATATAATTGAATTATTTCCTAGAAATTTAGTTACAATTGCATTGAAAATATGTAAATTTCTCAGAAGAATTTTATTTATATTTACAAAAATAATAATTGAATTCTTACCAAAAATTTTACAATTTATAAAAATAATTGAATTGTTTCGAAGAATTTTATCTGAATTTTTTAAAATAATTGAATTTTTAAAGATACATATTTTATTAAAAATTTTGAAAATAATGATTTTTTTAAAAGAATTTCATCAAAATTGTTGAAAATAATTGAATTTAATTAGATAATATTTTTAAAAATAATTGTATTCTTTCGAGATATTTATTAAAATAATTGAATTGCTTTGAAAAATATTATTATTTATGAGAATAATGAAATTCTTGCGAAAAATTTTATTAAAATTTTTGAATAATAATAAACAAGAATATTTAATATTATGTACTTAATAAGTGAATTTTTTAAATTCATGGATTCTTACTTTGGTTAAAAATTATAGCAATAAAACCGTGTTTTTGATTTCGAATAATTCGTTTGAAATATAATAGTAATATTGGTATTAATATTAATATTATTAATAATAATAATAATAATAATAATAATAATAATAATAATAACTGTTTTTTTTTGTTATTATCATATTATTATTATTTCTTTAATTTAAAAGAACTGTCAAAACTCAAGTGAATCCGAAAAAGTTTAGAAAAAAGTGTCCGCCATATTGGATTCGCCATTTTAAATTTTTGAAAACTACCATCATATTCGTAATCAGCAACCCCAGAAACCTCCGAATAACCAGTTTTAACTGAATCAATTATGTTTAAAAAAATGTGCACTTGCTGTATATTATTTATTAAGAAGTCAACTTTGAACGCCATTTTGTTTTATTACTATATTTTAGGTTGGATATTTTTGAGGCAATATTTATACCTTTGAGACGTATTCCTTTGCTATAAATAATAAAAAAATTTGATTTCTAAAGAAAAATCTTTAAAAAATCGTGTTTTTTTATTAAATAATTGTAATTATGTAATTTGTTTATTTATGAATTCACAATATTTTTTATTGCATCACTCGAAAGGGCGGTTCCTGAGCTTTAAGAAATGTATATTGAAAAATTTTTATCACTCCGTTTTCATACCAACAATTTCTGACAAATTTCAGGTAAAATTTTTGTACATTTGGTCCTTAAAGGGTTAAGAATAGAATTTCCAAAATTTCGCGTCTTTACTCGTTTGAATTTCTAAAAGTTCGAATGTTTTCTTGTTTAAAATTCCTAAATGTTAGAATGTTTATTTGTTCAAAATTCGGTTTTCAAGCGAAACCGCATTCTACTAGAGTTATGACTTAAAATATAAATTGAATTTCAAGTGTCCATTTATATAAATATGCAAAAAAAAAATTTACTAAACCAAAAAAATAACTTACCACTTTATCAATATTATCAACAGCTTTAATGTTCTTGGGAGCATCATTCATATATGAAACATTTTCTTCCAGCTCAATTTTTGTTGATAAACTATCAACTGCTAAAAATTATTATTATTATTATAAATATTATTATTTTGAGATTATTTTTATAATATAAATCTTTACAATTAGACTCACATTTTCTCTTCTGTTGAAGTTTTCGATCAACGTCCTCAAAATAAGTCCTTAAAGTTTGACTTACTTCGTCTATAATTTCTCTTTTATTAAGATCTTTTTCAACATTTTCAATACTGTAGATTCCATTAGACTTTTCGCATACAAATTCCTGTTCGCACTGAGTAACATCGATATTTTTATTGAGATCTCTGACTGGTTCCTCTTCTTTAAATATAAAATCATCGAAATTTTTGTCATAGCCTTTGACCGATTCAGTTGCAGGATTTCTACCAAATATATATTTATCATTATCTGCCTGTGAAGAATAAGGAGTGCTTTTCATATATTCCATTTCAAAATTTTGAATTTTTGGTTCGATGAAAAGAGTATTTGCGTTGTCGTTTTGCTCTATTAGATTAAACAAACCGTCATAATCTTCGCCTGTAAATAAAGTTTAAAAAAATATTAAATCTTTTACATGCTTTGAGAAAACTAAAGAAATCTAAGTAAAATTAATTCTATTTTTTATTATTATATTATAAAATAAAAATAAAAAAAAAAAATTAATTAAGTTTGTATAAATAAACTAGCAAAAATAACATCATTCTACCAAATAATATAAAAAACTATCTTTGAATAGGTATAAGCTAAAATTTTATTAATATTTTACCTGTAACATAACCTCGTGTATAGTGTACTAAAACGTGTACTAAAACGCAATAGGTTTGAATGTAAATTAAATATTAAATTTCAAATACCTTCTAAATCCGGATCATCGGGGTTCAGTGCATTTCTCAATGCAACTTCAAGAACACCATTTGTTTCTCTTTTAATTAAATCATAAACAGTTGGTAGCATTTGTATGATGCAGATATATTCTCCAATCATCACAATGTTTGAAGATTCCAATAAAAAGTCTATTATTTCTGTAATAAAGTAAAAAATTTACAAAGACGTGTCTGAAACATATTTGGAATTATAATTTAGTTTATAAACTAAAAAAGCCTCCTACTCATGCGATATTTACTGAAATAAATAATTTTTATTAAATTTTTCGTGGAATTATTATTCTTAAAATGCAAGAAAATTGAAATTGTTGCTACCTATTTCCAAACAGAATTTGGACTTTTTCCCTGACACTAAAGAATATTCTGATTGACTCTAAAAATTATTAGAAACTCAAAAAAAATGTTCGAATATTTGCGAATTTCTTTAATTATTGTAAAATTATTCGAAAACAATTGTTTTATTTATCTTAATTATTTAATCATTGTTATTTTTCCACTAAATTAAGATTTTCAAAAATTTCAAATTCAAAACTTTTGAAATTTAATAACTTATAAGAATATTATTATAAACATGAAGAAGTCAATCACTTCGAGTCTTCGACTCGGAGTAACCGATTTCTTTATGTTTTTATAATAATTAACGATAACCAAGGGATAAAATTATTATTTTATATAAGAATAAGTATTGTACTTCTTCAAAATTATTTTCATCATTTCAATTCAATTATTATTTTCTATAGAATTTTTAACTAAAATTCTTCTTTAGATCAATTATTATTTAAAAGAACGAAAATTTAAATTTTTTTAAAGAATTGAATTTGAAACCTTTTCAAAATTCAATTATTTATAAAAATTCACGCTATATTGCTTTTAATATTCAATTATTATCTAATATTATTTCAAGTGAAATTCATTTTTAAATCAATTTTTATTAGAAAATTCTATGAGAATTCAATTATTTAAATACAAAAGTAAATAATTTCTTCAATAATTGAATGTTTACTAAAATTTAATTTTTACGAAGAATTTTATTAAAAACTTTTGAAAATAATTAATTGCTTTTAAGGAATTTAATTAAAATTTTACTGCAATTTATTATATTAAAGAATTTTATAACAATTTTTGAAAATAATTGAAAACTTTGTGAAGAATTTTATTAAAATTATTAAAAATACTCGAATTCCTGAGAAGAATTTAAATAATAATTTATGAAAATAATTGAATTCATGCAAAGGATTTTATTAAATTTTGTTTAAAAAATATAAATTTATCCCAAGAATTTTATTAAAATTATTGAAAATAATTATAATTCTTGAGAAGAATTTCGCTATTTATTTATAAAGATAATTTAATTCTTAACGAGAATTTAAAAAAGTTTTGTAAATAATTTAATTTCTAAAAAGTATTTTATTACTCTCCAAAAAAATTGAATTCTTGTGATAAATTTTGATATTTATGAAAATAATTGAATTTTGGAAAAGAATTTTGTTAAAATTCCTTTAAATAATTGATTTTATGGGGAGAATTTTGTTGTTTAACAAGATAATTGAATTCTTTTGCAGAATTACTTAAAAATTTTTTGAAAATAATTTATTTCCTGAGACGAATCAAAAGTTATTTATGAAAATAATTAAATCATTGCAACGAATTTTATTATTTTATTGAATAATTGAATGTTTCTTAAATTTGAATTCTTTCGTCAGGTTTTAATAAATCTTTTAAGAATAATTGCGTTTTTCGAGAAATTTATTTTAAATTGTATTAAAAATACTTAAAATTTTGTCGTAAAAATAATTGAATTCCTAAATGAAATTTTATTATTTATGAAAATAATTGAATGTTTTTGTAGAATTTTATCAAAAATTTTTTTCAATAATTAAATTTTTTGATAAATTTTATGAAAATAGTGAATATTTGAAAATTATTGAAATGCGAAAAACTTTTAGAAATAATTGAAATTTTTGAATAGAATTTTATTTAAATTTTTTGAAAATAATTGAATTTTTGGCGAAAAATTTTGCTATTTATAAAGATAATTGAATTCTTGACGAGATATTCGTTAAAATTTTTAAAAATAATTGAATTTCTTCTAAGAATTTTATTACTTTTGAAAATAATTGAATTCTTGTGATAAATGTTGTTATTTATAAAAATAATTGAATTTTGCAAAGAATTTTTTTAAATTCTAAAAAATAATTGAATCTTTGTGAATAATCTTGTTATTTATCAAGATAATTGCATTAAAACATTTGAAATAATTAAATAAATATTAAAAAATCAAATTTGGTCAGAAATAGAAAAAAATTTGTAGGTTTTGTAGTAGAATTCGTGGTAGTTTGATAGTTGACGAGTCAAACAAAAAGACACTAAAAATTCAGAATTTTCTTATGAATTTCAAAAATTTAATTTTTTTCAGTACTTTTAATAAAAATCCCTGACTTCCCTGACTTTTCCCTGATCTCCCTGACCTGTGGCAACCCTGATTATCGCAAAGATATTAACTGCAAAATGGAGACTTTTTTTAACCCTAAACAGTACAACTGAGGTACAAAAGTGCCCCAGAGAAAAATTATAAAAAAAATTTATTATTATAAAAGTTATAATTTATTTATTTCAAAACATAGACGGGTTCAACTGTATTCATACGCATGAATGCATTTTTCATTTTGGACATTTTCACTTTGGACTTTTTGTACTTTGGATTTTTTTCTTGGATATTTTAGATTGGACCTTTTGTCCTTTATTCGAACCAGATATCTTGTACTGTCTAGAGTTAAATATGTGTTATCAAAAATTTAAATATAACCTTCGTTTTGGTCAGAAACTATCTAATATCATTAGATATGCGATCATCATATCGCAAGATAATAAACACTATATGAACATTAGTTGTGGAAAAATTTATCACATACCTATATCGATATTTACAACACTGACAGAGGCCGGAATTAAACTTTTTGCTTCATTCCATTTGGAAAGAATATCACTAACTTTGACGTATTCACTTTCAACGATGTATTCATACAACAGCCTTGAAATAAAAATTATAATTATTAAAATCTCAGTTTTTTGCAATTAATATGTTATAACTAATTTATTCTTAATTAAATATGAATAAATTAATTTTTATTTCAACTATTTAATAATTAATATTCAAAATTTTTAGTAGGTAACCAGGCACAAGACATATGAATAAGTCACAAAGTTCATTTGTTGCATAAAAATCCATCAAATAGAACGAAAACATTTTTTTAAAAATAAATTCATGCTTAAAAATTATTCAAACTGTAACTCCTATAAAAATTTACATTTCTTAGATGAACTTTAGGATTACTTTTCGATTCGAAAATACTACAGAATTATATTAATAAAGAATTTAAAAATTGCTGCATTAAAAAATTAGTGCCTACTTCAGGAATTTTTACGCAATAATCGAGCAATATCAAAAATGTTAACTGCAAAATAGAGTCAATTTTAAAGTCCTTCTAATTACATGGCTCGGATCGACTTTAAGAATCAAAAAAAGTTGCTTTCGTCGCATAAATTCACAACAAAAGTCACGAAAAGTCGCATAAAATTTGCAAAAAAGTCGAAAAAAGTCGCATTAAATTTTAGAAAAAAGGAAACACGAAATTGTCAAAATTGTAAAAAAATCACATTTCTCGACAACACATACTTTAATATCAAACAATCCGGAATAAAATTTAATAAAATTCAAAGCAAAATTTTAATTAGGTATTTTTAACATTTTTTTTTAAATTCTCTTTAAACTGTAAAATATTTTTATAAATAATAAAATTCTTCTCCTAAATTCAATTATTTAAAAAAAAAATTAATAAAATTCTTGTCAAAATTTCAATTATCTTTATAAATAATAAAATTCTTCTCTGAAATTCAATTATTTTCATAAGTAATAAAATTCTTCGCAGAAATTCAATTATATTCAAAAATTTTTTTTAAATTCAAATTTTCTCGATAAAATTCTTTACAAAATTCAATTATCTTCAAAAATAAGAAAATTCTTCTGCAAAATTCAATTACTTTTAAACATTTTTAAAGAAATCTGTTCAAAATTTCAATTATTTTTATAAATAATAAAATTCTTCTCTGAAATTTAATTATTTGTAAAAATAATAATAAAATTCTTGTCCAAATTTCAATTATCTTTATAAATAAAAAGATTCATCCTAGAAATTCTATTATTTTCAATTTTTTTTTTAAATTCCTCGTCGAAATTTTATTTATCTTCATAAATAATAAAATTCATCCTGGAAATTTAATTATTTTCAAAAATTCTGATAAAATTCTTTGCAAAATTCAATTATCTTCAAAAGTAAAAAAATTCTTCGCAGAAATTCATATTTTCGAAATTTTTTTAAAATTCTCCTCAAAATTTCAATTATCTTTGTAAATATCAAAATTATTCTGCAAAATTTAATTACTTACTAATGTTTTATAAATTTCTTCTCAATAATTCAATTACTTTCATAAAAAATAATTAAAAATTTTTTTTTATAAAGTCTTATAAGATAAAATAATGATTTTATCACTCGGTCATCTTTAATTGTAATAAAACATGAAGACATCGATTGCTCCGAGTCGAAGACTCGGAGTGATCGATTACTTCATGTTTTATAACAATTTTTTATAAGTTGTTTAATTTCAAAAAGGTTTGAATTTGAATCTTTTGAAGAATTTTATTTCCTATGGAAAAATAATAATGAAATATTTACTTAAAAAAGAAGTTATTGATGTTTTCGAAAAATTTGAAAGAAATTTGTAAATAAATGTAACAGATCATTTTTTTGACTAAAACTTTTTCCTTCAATTTTCTAAAAATTTTAAAAGTTTCATTTTCTAATTGACAAATCGAATTTATAAACATTTTTTTTCATTAATTTTTAAAAAAACTTAAAATTTTATTAAAGCAATTGTAATTAAGAAATAGAAATGATGCAAATTGTTTCCTTATGAAAATTGAGAATTTCCTACAAAAATATTAAGAAACGAGATAACATGTTATGTTTTTTTTCCCTAAAGAGAAGAATGATTTTGTGAACAATATTGTTTACAAAAAAAGATTTCTGCCATTTACAATTTAAGTCGAAAAGTAATTGAAAAATTTGAAAAAAGTCGATTAGTCGCATTTTTTCACAAAAAAAGTCGAAAAAAGTCACATTTCCTTAGAAAAGTCGAAAAAGTCGCACAATCCGAGCCCTGTAATTAGGTAAATATTATTTGCAATTATATTTTTATTTAATTATTTAAATATCCATTGAAAACATGGAATTTTCTTGATGTATCAGAATTCGGAAATTGGGTCACTTACCCTATAAATAATAAAAATGTAATATTAAAAAATGTACTAACGAAAATGTAAAGTTGTGTAATTCCGTTATCTCGGGTTCTGTGCAGGAATAAGTATGATGAGAATAGTCATTGAGGTTCACATGTAAGTTTAGAGGTCCATACATCCCAACGTTTGGTTTCCACTTGAAAAGATTAAACAAAAATATTCATAAAAGTTAAAAGTTTGGAAAAAAATGCAAACAATTTATACGGGCATATCTCTAGAAATTTTAAACTTTTCGTTATCGCTCATCATGATACATTAAAAGTTTTATTCATTTTTTTGTTAATTAATTAATATGCACTTTTTTAAATAAACATAATTGTAGAAAAAAAATTTTAATTTTGAATAATAATTTCAATAATGAAATTTATACATAACATATCTTGGACTCTTATCTTTATATTCCCGAAAAAAATTTTTGGGAATTTAATGCCGAGTGTTTAAAAAAAAAGAAGATAAAAATCTGTTAAGATTTACGTGCTCTACGATATTTTGAACTCAGTTTTTCGATTTTAAATGTTTATATTTTCAAAAATTTGAATACAATTCTTCGAAAGTATTCAATTATTATCATAAATAATAAAATTCTTCTTCAAAAGAATTCAGTTATTTTTAAAAATAATAAAATTTTATGCAAAAATTCAACTATTTTCAACAAAGTTTTAATGAATCCTTCAAAACAATTCAATTGTTTTTTAAAATTGTAAAATCTTTGCAAAAATTCAATTATTATCTTTCTAAATATTTAATTATTTTCAATACAATCAATCTTAACTAAATTCCTACAAAGAATTTAAATGTTCATCGAAACAATTATATTATTTTTCAAAAATTTTAATAAATATCTTTGCAAGATTTCAATAATTATTTTCATAAATAATAAAAATTTTTCAAAGAATTTCAATAATGTTAAAAAATTTTAATAAAATTATTCCTAAAAATCCAATTATTCTCATAAAAAGTAAAATTCTTTTGGAAATTTCAATTATTTTCAAAAAATTTAATAAAATTATTCGCAAGAATTCTATTATTATAAAAAATCAAATTCTTTGGAAGATTTCCATTATTTTCAAAAATTTGAAACAAATTCTTGTCAAGAATTCAATTTTTTTATAAATAATTGAATTCTTTGGAGGATTTCAATTATTATCAAAAATTTGAAACAAATTCTTGCAAAGAATTTAATTTTTCCATAAATAATTGAATTCTTTGAAAGATTTCAATTATTTTAAAAAATTTGAAACAATTATTGTTAAAATTTCAATTTTTATCATAAACAATAGAATTTTTTACAAAATTTCAATTATTTTCAAAAATTTGAAACAAATTCTTGCAAAGAATTTAATTTTTTCATAAATAATTGAATTCTTTGGAGTATTTTAATTATTTTCAAAACTTTGAAACAAATTATTGTCAAGAATTCCATTTATTTCATAAATAATAGAATTCTTTACAAAATTTTAATTATTTTCAAAAAATTTGAAATAAATTCTTGTCAAGAAATCCTTTCGAAGTAAAATTCATCGCAAAATTATTTTGAAAATTATTTTAAAAAGTTGAAAAAATTCTTTTTTTTAAATTCATTTATTTTCAAAATTCTCAATTGAAATTATTCAAAAAATACATTATTTAAAAAAAAATTCTTCAAAAGAACTTAATTATTTACAAAAACTCTAATAAAAACCTTCAGTAGTATTTATTCTTTGAAAGAATTTAATTATTTTCTATATTTTATTGAAATTCCTTGAATGAATTAAATTTTAGAAAATTGTAATAAAATTCTGAGAAGAATGTAATTATTTTCTAAAAATTTTAATAAAATTAAATTACTTTAAAAATGTTTAATTAAAATTATTAAAGAAACTCCATTATTAAAAAAAATATTTAAAGAATTTAATTAGGATTTTTTAAAATGTTAATAAAATTTTTCTTGAGAATGGAATTATCTTCATAAATAATAAAATTCTGCGAAAAACTTCAATTATTCTCAAATTTTTTGACAAAATTCTTTGCAAGAATTCAATGCTTTTAATATATATTAATTTTAAAATTGAAAATATTTTTTAAAAAAATTATTTAAAAAGTTAGGAAACAAAAAAGCAAACAACTAACTTCAAACTGCAAACAGATTTTACCGGAATACAACGATTATTGTTAATATATAGATTTTAAGAATGTGCCTTGAAAAAAACTATGTTTTCTAAAACCTAAAAGTCTAAAAGTTCCAGAGATTGGTTAAATTTCGACAAATGTCACATTCATGTGTATTTGTTTATGTTACAATTAATATTTATAGTTTAATTTAAATATAAATATACTTTTATACTCTTGTTTAAATATACTTTGTAAATTTATCATAGTAGTACAATTTAAAAGTAAATTGCACAAAAATCAAAAGCCAAAAAATTCTCAGCGGTAATACTTGTCGAATTTTGTACCCACATATTGCTATTTTGCCCTAAAATTTGAAAACTGCATTAAGTGACACTGTCACTTTGGTTGATTTCCAGAATGTTGAAAAAACAGAAACTACGATTTAATCGTCAATATCACTTTCCGCAGTTTTTAAATTATAGGGCAGTATATCAATTGATATTCTGTTGTTATTTTGAGCCTCGGGAATGACGTGAATCCAAAGAACAAAAATTAATTTTCTATCTGTGAAACATGCTGTGCTTTAATAAGATAAAAACATTTGAAAAGTGTGCTGAAAAAAAGCTAAAAGTACAAGGACAAAATTTTTAATTATAAAAAAATTATTATGGAAAAAACATCGATTTACGTGACATAGATTTATTAAATTAGAATACTTAGTATAAAACAGGGTGTCCAGCGGTAAGAGAAGTCAGGTCAGAGAAGTGTTGCTCTTGACATCCCCATTATCATCTGTTACTATCATAAAATATACGTCAAAAACGTTACTCATTTTTCTAAGTCGATAGATACTCTACTTTTCTCTAAACAATTTTTCTAAACTTGGGAAGTATAAAAAAACAAAAGCCAACGGTTATTTATTTTACAGGGTGGCCACCAAAACTCGTGAATAAAATTCACGTCTATTTCCCGGTTTTTTCAAGTTTTCTAAGAAATTTTCAAGGTTTTTTTGTTGGTTCAAATTTTACTATAGTAATACTTAAAAAATTCAACTACTTCCACATTTTTTATTGCCGAATTTTTTTTAGGCTTTTCTTACGATTCTGAAGAATCAAAATTTTCACTTTTTCCCTGACCATAAAGAATATTCTGATTCACTCTAAAAATTATTAGATACTCAAAAAAACTTTCTATTACATTTACTTACGAATTTCTTAAATTGTAAAATTATTCGCAAACATCAATATTTAAATTTTTAAATAAGTATTTAATTATTATTTTTCCATAGGAATTAAAATTCTTCAAAACATTCAAATTCAAACATTTTTAAAATTCAACAACTTATAAAAATTTTAATTTCCATAAAATTTTTCAAAAAAAAAAAAAATTAAATTATTTACAAAAATTATAATAAAATTTGTTGCAAGAATTCAATTATTTTCATAAATAATAAAATTCTTCACATGGTTTCAATTATTTTTAATAGAATTTTAAATAAATTTCTCGAAAAATAAAATTATCTTCACCAATTTTTTGCAAGAATTAAATTAGGTACATTTCACAAATAATGGAATTCTTCGCTGAAATTCAAAAATTTTCAAAATTTACATTTTTAATACAAGTTTTCAAAAGAATATGATTATTTAAATAAAATGTAATTAAATTCGTTGCATAAATTCAATTATTTTTACAAGTAATAAAATTTTCCACATGAATTCAATTATTTTAAAAAAAATTGATAAAATTCGTTGTAAGAATTCCATTATTTTCATAAATTATAAAATTTTTCTGAGGATTTTAATTATTTATAATACAATTTAAAGTAAATTCCTAGAAAAATGGAATTATTCTCTTAATTTTTTTGTAAGTATTTAATTACATTTCACGAATATAATGAAATTCTTCGTTGAAATTCAAATATTTTCAAAATCTACTTTTTTAATAAAAGTTCTCAAAAGAATTCAATTATTTAAAAAAATGTAATAAAATTCGATGCAGGAATTCAATTATTTTCATAAATAATAAGATTCTTTACATTATTTCAATTATTTAAAAAAAAAAATTGAAAAAATTCATTGCAAGAATTCAATTACTTTCATAAATTAATAAAATTCTTCACAGGATTTCAATTATTTTTAATACAATTTTAAGTAAATTCTTCGAAAAATGTCACTATTTTCAAAAATTTTGTTAAAATTCTTCGAAAGAATTCAATTATGTTTTATGTATTTTATCAATTATGTATTTTGAAAAATTCATGCTATAATGCTTTTAATATTCAATTATTATCTAAAATTTTAACTAATATTCATTTTAAAATCAATTTTTATTGGAAAATTCTATAAGAATTCAATTATTTAAATACAAAAATAAATAATTTATTGAATAAATGAATGTTTTTCGAAACTAAATTATCATAAAGAATTTTATCAACAAATTTGATTTTTTTCCAGAAATTTTAATAAAATTTTCAAGAATAATTAAATTTTTCGAGGAATTCAATTAAAATTGTATTAAAAATAATTGAAATTCTATGATGAATTTTATTATTCATGAAAATAATTGAATTTTTGTAAAAAATGTTATTTATGAAAATAATTGAATTATTGCGAAGTTTGCTTAGAATTTTATCAATCATTTTTTTTAAAAATATGTAATTGAATTCTTTTGAAAAATTTTATTAAAACTGTAGATATTGAAAATCATTGAATTGAGAAAAATTTTTTGAAAATAATTGAAATTTTGCGTGAAAAAATTCACGTCCAATTCACGGTTTTTTCAAGGTTTGACAAAATTCACGTCCATTTCAAGGTTTTCAAGGTTTCAAGGTCCGGTGGCCACCCTATTTTTATAAGAATTTAATTAAAATTAAATTGAAAGTTATTAAATTTAGGGAAATTTTTTGAAAATAATTGGAATTTTTGTCAAGAATTGTAATGAATTTTTTTGAAAATAATTAAATTTCTGAGTAGAATTTTATTCTTTATAAAGATAATTGAAATTTTCACGAGAATTTTTTTTTTATTTTTGAATATAATTGAATTTTTGCAAAGAATTGTATTATTTACAAAAATAATTAAATTGTTCCGGCGAATTTTATTAAAAATTTGTGAAAATAATTGAATTTTGTCGAAGAATTTTCTTTTAATTTCTGTTCATAATTGAATTTCTGCAAAAGAATTTTACTATTTATAAAAATAATTGAATTCTTGGGAAGAATTTTACTATTTATAAAAGTAATTGAATTGTTTCGAAGGATTTATTAAGATTTATAGAAAATAATTGAATGCATTCGAAATATATTAAAATTTTTTTTTAAAAATTGAATTCTTCCGAGGAATTTAATTAAAATTGATTTGAATTTTAATTACTTTCAAAATTTACAATTAAAATTCTTCAAAAGTTGATTTTCAAAAATTTTTATAAAACAAAAAATCAATTATTTTCAATTAAATTTTTTCAAAATTTCAATTATTGAAACTCTTTTTAATTGTAAATACGCTATTAACTAAATAAAAAAATCGACTTAAACCAAAAAATTTAGACATAAACTTTTTGTTTTTTCTATACTAGACCAAAGGCTACAAAATATTATCTCTCTTGACTTCTTAAAAGAAAAGGTCTACAAAAATACTAAACTATTGTCATTCCCGTTTAATTGAATTGATGAATCGTGATTCATTCGAAACAACATTTTCAACAAATTAAATTCGGATAAATGACGATTTTTGAATATAAAAATTTTCCATTCCCAACAAATTTATTTTCCGGTTAAGTTATTATAAAAATGAGTCAACTAATCAGACACCAAAAATCAGAAAATCTAATTAAAATTTGGACAATCGAAGTAGCAATAGATAGTGCAAAATTTAAAAAAAAAGATAATTCAAACTTTTATAAATTGTGTTTTTAAAGTCACAACAAAATAATACATAAAATTTATTAAATAAATTATATTTTAGAGAAATATTCAAGATTCACACATTTTTTAAAAAATAATCAAGGGACTGGATTCTATAAGGGGATGCCATAAATTCACAAACAAACCTTTAGTGTAATTTAAAAAAAGAAATTAAAAATAATGAAGTAAACTTACACTTTGTTCAAATGGAAGTCCGAAGTCGCTGGATCGAAGTTTTACTAACTCAAGCAGATTTGATTCCAGATCAAATCTAAAACGTAAGAGTTAAAATGAAATTATTTAAATTTTTATCTACATTTAAAGGTACAGTTTACAATAAAAATAAAACTGAATAACAAACCTGGAATAGTTGGAAATTTCTTTAACTATCGGTGATTGTACAGCAACAGGAGATGATTTTTTCAATTTTACAAAAAGCTTTTTTTGTTTTGGTGGAACGATCTAAAACATTAAAGTATTTATTACTCGAATACAGGAAATTGGTAGTAATAAGCATTGCTGAATAATTCTAAAAAATCTGACAAGTGTGAGTTTAATTATTGTATTTTTATAAAAATTTACTAGTAAAAATACGCGGTGTGCTTGAACCAACTTTAAAAAAATTCTTGCGAAATAGGATTTGTTATTTATGAATTCCAACATTAGAGGCCTTCGTGAGGCCTTTTAAGAAAATTAATTTTTAATATATAAATTCTAGAGTTTTTGGGTCACAATTTTTTTTAGAATATCAATTCTAGCCCTAGGAACTTTGAAAATTTAAATAAATAAATAAATTCTGTTTCATGACAATAAATTCTAATTACGAATCTGATGTTAGTTTTTCAAAATTCAAAATGGCGGACCGGAAAAGTAAATAGAAAATACTTACATTCTTTCGAATTGCGCCTTTCGCAACTGGAGTAGGCTTCACTGGTTGTGCGGGCACTGTTCCTTCAATGACGGTTTTAACTTCTCCTTGTTCATCAATAATTTCTATTCGCTCAATAACACTATGTGTAGAATTACTTTCACAATTAGGTGTAAAACACGCAAATCCTATAACATCCTAGATATAAAAATAAATTTGTCAAACATTTTCATCCTCTAACACCAATTTAACAATTTTTCAGGGTGTCTACTGAAAGTATGACTTAAAATTCCAGGACATTTTTAGGACATTCCAGAACAGATTTTTTATTTTTCCAGGACATTTATATGTGTAACAGGGTTGCCACAAGTTAGGGAAGTCAAGGAATTCAGGGAAATTAGAATTTGTCAGGGAAAAGTCAGGGATTTTTACTAAAAGTACTAGAAAAAATTAAATTTTTAGAATTTATAAGAAAATTCTGAATTTTCGTGTATTTTTTGTTTGCTTTATAAACTATGAACTTGCCAAGAATTCTAATACAAACCCTTCAATTTCTTCTATTTTTGACAATAATTTCTTTTTAAATAACTTCGCATAAATTCAATTATGTTTAAAATTTTTTTGAAAATTCTTGTCAAAATTTCAATTATCTTTATAAATAATAAAATTATTCTCCAAAATTAAATTATTTTCAAAAAATGTAATAAAATTCTTGGCAAAATTTCAATTATTTTCAAAAATTTTCCTCATTTCAATTAATTTTGATATCTACTATTTTCATAAAATTTTCCAAAAGAATTCTATTATTTAAACAAAATTTTAATAAAAATTTAACAGGAATTCAATTATTTACCAATTCCTTTTATAAATTTCTTCACATCAATTCAATTATTTTAAATTTTTTAATGAAGTTTCTCGAAAGAATTCAAATATATTTAAAGAAAATTGAACAAAATAGTCTGAGAAATTCAATTATTTCGAAAAATTTAAATAAAATTCTTTTAATAATTCTATTATTTAAAAAAATGTTGACAAAATTCTTTGCAAGATTTAGTTCATTAAATTGCAATTTTAATAAAATTTTCCTATACAATTCAATTGTTTTTAATACATTTCTTCTTACGAATTCAATTATTTTCACAAATAATACATTTTTTTATAGGAATTCAATTATTTAAAAGAATTTAAATAAAATTCTTCGCTAGAAATCAATTATTTTCTTTTTTAAGAATTCAATTATTTTTAAAACTTTTGATAAAATGTTTTATAAATTTGCAAAATTATAATAAAATCGGTCATAGAATACAATTATTTTAGTAAAATACATTTTTTCTAGAAATACAATTATTGTCAAAAATGTTTCTAAAACTCTTCGAAACAATTCAATTATTTTCGTAAAAAATAAAAATTCTTTTAAGCAATTAAATTATTTAATAAATTTTAATAAACTTCTTCCCAAGAATTCAATTTTTTTCAAAAATAAACATTTTCACAGGAATTCAATTATTTAAAAAACAATTTTTTTAATTCTTTGTTAAATTTCACTTATTTTAAAGTTTTTATTGAAATTTCAAGATAGAATTTAATTATTTTTAAAAAGTTTTTAAAAATTCTGAAAAATTCAATTATTTAAAAAAATTTAAATAAAATTCTTCACAAGAAATTAATTATTTTCATAAATAATAATATTTTTTTCTGGAATTCAATTATTTTTACAAATAAAATTTTTCACAGGAATTCAATTCTTTAAAAAGATTTTTAATAAAATTCGTTGCAAGAATTTAATTATTTTCATAAATAACAAAACTTATCGCAGAATTTCAATTATTTTTATAAAATTTTAAATAAAATGATAGAAAATTGCATTTATTCTTACAATTTTTTTTGAATTCGCCGAAAGAATTCAATTGTTATTAAAATTTTTGATAAAATTCTTCATAAAAATTCAATTTTAAAAAAACATGCAATTACTGAATAAATTATTTATTTTTGTATTTAAATAATTGAATTCTCGGGAAATTTTCTAATAAAAATTGATTAAAAAATGAATTTCACTTAAAATTTTAAATTATAATTGAATATTAAAAACATTATAGCGTGAATTTTTAGAAATAATTGAATTTTGAAAAGGGTTAAAATTAAAATCTTTAAACATTTGAATTTTTAGTTACAATATTCTTATGAAATAAAATAATGATTTTATTACTGTGTCATCTTAAATTTCTTCATGTTTTATTATAATATTCTCATAAGTTATTGAATTTGAGAATCTTAATTCCTATAGAAAAATAATAATGATTAAATATTTATTTAAAAAAGAAGTTATTAATGTTCTTCAGGGTCAGGGAAAAAGTGAACATTTTGTTTGGAAATCAGGGAAGTCAGAGAAAAACAAAAATAAAATTTTATGGCAACCCTGTGTAATATTATTTCATATTACGATTAACATAATTTAAATTAACCTACTTGAAAAAAAATATTTATTTTATTATAAAAAGAGTTAAAAATCAATATTGTTTATACCAGTTTCTTTAATCAAATGACAAATTGAAATTATTTTTTGATGGATCAAAAAATTATTTTTTTAAATTTGAGTAAAATTTTTAAATTATTGAATATTGAAAAGCAAAATATGGAAAATTCAAGGACAAAAGTTCATAATCCAGGACATTTAAGGACATTTTTTCAAATTCCAGGACATTTCCAGGAATTCCAGGACTTCAAGGGCCAGGAGACACCCTGTTTTTCATTCTATTACCTTATCAGATAATTTCTTAATAGGAGATAAATTTTCTTTCATAAGTTTCCAACAAAGCTGATGAAAATGGACTTTACATGGATTTTTCGAGTTATTGCAGACAATCCTGACCATTCCAGTGAATGTGGTATCCCTGAAAATCGTTTAGAAAGATAATTGAACAATTTTATTGTATAAATTTAAATAATATTAATAATAGACTGAATTCTTTTGAAATATTTTTTAATACAACTATAATAAAATAAAAGTAAATTACCTGAAGAAAATGTTCCGATTCGGAGATAAGGAATCTGTTGTAAAATTGTGACATTTATTACAGACAGCATCTGGTTGATGCCATCCGTAAGAATCTTCTGTCATTTGCGTTAAATGTTCCTAATAAATTAAAGAAGAGAAATAAATAATTATACACAAAATTATAATCAGAAAGGGATCGGTACACTTTTTAAAAAAAAAACTTTTTATCTAATTGACGTTGCTTTTGTCTCATTCGATTGCAAATACCAATCAAATAGTTTTTGAGAAAATAAATAAATAAAATTAGCAATTTTAAAAATAATAGAAATTATAAATTTTCTAATTTAAATTTTTGTTGAAAACACTAAAAAAATTCAATTTTGCAGAAATTACAAATATTTGCAGAAATTCAATTATTAAAAAAAAAAAAATAAATAAATAAAATTGAACTATGTTCAAAATTTGAAAAAAATTCCAATTATCTTTATAAATAACAAAATTCTTGTCCAAACTTCAAATTATTTTATTTTATTTTTTTTATTTTACTTTCAAGTTAGATGTGTTTTTTTTGTTTCTGAACTTTTTTATAATTTTTCTTTTCAAATATTTTCAATTTTAAAATTAATGTATTGAAAATCATCGAATTGTCGCAAAGAATTTTATCAAAAAATTTGATAATAATAGAATTCCTTCAAATAATTTTATTATTTAGGAAAATAACTGAATTCTCGCGAAGAATTTTATTAAAATTTTTGAAAATTCTAATTAAATTCTTTTGAAGAATTTCTTTGATTTTTTTTAAACTAATGGAGTTTTTAATAATTTTAATTAAAAATTTTGAAAGCAATTGAATTTTATGAATAAGTATTTTATTAAAATTGTATTGAAAATAAATGAATTCTTGCGAAGAATTTTACTATAAATAAAAATAATTGAATTATTCTGAAGAATTTATTAAAATTTTAGAAAATAAATAAATTTTTTGTTAATATTTGAAAATTTAAATTCTTTCGCGGAATTCTATTAAAATTCTTTTGAATAGAATTGAATATCTGCAAAGGATTTTACTATTTATAAAAATAATTGAAATGTTTCGAAGAAGTTACTGAAACTTTAAGAAATAATTAAATTGTTATGAAGAATTTTATAGAAATATTTAAAAATAATGAAATTTTTTCGAGAAATTAAATTAAAGTTGTTTAAAAAATAATTGAATTTCTTTAAAGAATTTTATTAAAATTAAATATATTCAAAATAATTGAATTCATCACAAGAATTTTATTATTTTTTGAAAATAATTGAATTCTTTCAATTTTTTTTGACGAATATATTTAAAAATTGCATTGAAAGTAATTTAATTTTTATATAGAATTTTTTAAAAATATTTTTAGAATAATTGGATTATTTTTAGAAAATTTTGAATTCTTGTTAAAATTCAATTTTAATAGAAAATTTTGAAAATAATTAAATTCTTTCGTGTAATTTTATTTAAATTAGATTAAAAATTATTTAATTCCTGCAAAGAATTTTAGTATTTACAAAAATAGTTGAATTGCTTCGAAGAATTTATTACAATGCAATTTTAGGAAATAATTGTTTATCGAAATAATTAAAAATATTTGAATTCATCCGAGGAATTCAATTAAAATTGTTTTAAAAATAATTGAATTCCTGCAAAGAATTTTACTTTTTATAAAATTAATTGAATTCTTGCGAAGAATTTTACTATTTATAAAAATAATTGCATTTTTTCGAAGGATTTAATAAAATTTTAGAAAAAAATTGAATTTATTCGAAATATATTAAAACTTTTTTAAAAATTGAATTCTTCCGAGGAATTTAATTAAAATTTTTTAAAAATCATTGAATTTTTGTAAAGATTTTACTATTTAAAAAAATAATTGAATTGTTTACAAGGATTTATTAAAATTTTAGAAAATAATGGAATTCTTTCGTGAAATTTTATTAAAATTTTTGAATGTATGAACAGTAATAATTAATTTTGTACTTAATAAGTTAATTTTTTAAATTTTGATTGTGAAATTATTTAAAAAATTTATATTTGAAAATAAAAAATGTTGTAATTTGCATAACAATAATAAATTGAATATCTCGTTCCGCGCGTAACATTTTCTGCTAATAATATAATATACAATTTATCTAAAGTTAACAAAAAACAAAAGTATAAACAAAAGACAACTTCAGAGTGTGAGGGACAAAAAAAGTAAATGGATGAAAGAACATTCAAATTATTATAGAGGCATTTCACGTCAGAAATATCACGATTCGCAAAGGGTATGATGCTTTTGCAAAACTTCGTGGGATTATAGTTCTATAAAAGAGACTTCCTTCCCCCAAATTTTTTCAAAAAAAATTTATAATTGTTGAAGATACGCCATTTTGAATTTTAATATTAATTTTATAAAATTTTGAATATCTCGGAATATTGTTTATGGATTTTTATGAAATTTACACATTTTTCAGGTAAAAGTATGTACTTTAAAATGCAAATAAAGTTAATAAAAAAAATTAATGTTTAATTAAAAAAATTAAAAAAAAATTTTTTGTTTATTTACTTCTCTCTGAGAAAAATGTTATTAACATATTTGAATTTCTTGTAAATTCACCTTTTATTTCATAAACAAAAATTAATCGAGACTCAACTGGTTCCGGAGATATTGAATTTTTTTAAAAAAAGCGTCGCCGCGCCATAGCACCATACTGCACAAGTCGCGTAGTACGTTACCGTAGCAGTGCATTGCTGCTTCAACAATTATAAATTTTTTTTGAAAAAATTTGGGGGAAAGAATTTCTATATAAAAATCTTATATAGAACTATAATCCCACGAAGTTTTGCGAAAATCGGCATACCCTTTGCAAATCGTGATATTTCTGACGTGAAATGCCTCTATAGTTAATTTACAAATAATAGGACAAACAATTGAAAATTAAATTATTGTATTTGAAAACATTTAGAGAATATACATTGGAAACTTACAGTCATTGTAGATGTTTTTTATATTTCTTTTACAAAATTTAAAATTTCCTTTCCATTTAAAGTGAAGATTTTGATTCTCTAAAACAGATTAAAATTATTTAAAAAAAATATATTTTACAAGAATTTTTTTATAATAATGGTAATAATTAAATATAGTAAATAATTTGACATTTTAATGGTTGTTTATGAGAAATGTTTTTCAAGCTTGAGTAGCTGTGAGGAATGTGTATCTGATTTGCGTCCCCAAGGTCCAAAGTTCGAACCCCCGTGTGTGTGTGAAATTTTCAAATATTGTTTTATGTGTTATATGTGCGGCAACTTTTATTATGAACAAAAAGTTTTGAATGTTCAAATGAACGAAATATTTTTTGTTAAAAATATTTTCATAGATTATTGATTACAATTCAAATTAAAAACTCAAATTTTACATTTAGAAACATTATAATTAATTTGCTTAATAGTGACGAAAAATTATAGTAATAAAAATTTAATTTGAAGAAGAAATAAATAAATTTCGTTCATTTGAACGTTCAAAACTTTAACCTCCTCTTTTATTAATAATGTGAAGTGAAATATATGTTTAAATAATATATTGTAATTAATAATAAACAATGTAATTTGGTTTGTTAAAAATAAGATAAAAAAACCGAAATTTAAAAATATATTTTTGCAAATATACACAACGCAATTGTAGTATTCATAATTATTTTTAATAATTTATATGTGACCTGGTAAGTTAAAAGGAACCTTACGCCCAAAATCAAGTTTTCGAGAAAAACGTTCTTAAAGTTAACAAGTCGATATTCTTGCTTCTGCACATTAAAATAGCTTGAAAATTGTTAACCCCTTAGCAGTGTAGTCAAAATAAGCTTTTCGTGACACAAATGTGCAAAAAAAAATTTTTTTTTAAATTACTTGACATTATTATATTTTATGTTTTCGGGGTCGCTGAATCCGAATATTTGATAAAAATTTAAAAATTCAAAATGGCGGCTCCAAAATTTAAAAGTTTCCTGATTTGACTCAAAATGCTCACTTGGGGGGTTTTTTGGGTTGCTGATTTCGAATATCTGGTTGAAATTTTAAAATTCAAAATGGCGGCTTCAAAATGGCAAACGAAAAAATTTTAAAGTTTTCGGATTTGGCTAGAAATGAGCATTTGGGGGTTTTTGGAGACACTGAATTAGAATATTGGGTTAAAATTTTATAATTCGAAATGGCGACTTCAAGATGTCAACTAAAAATTTAAAAGTTTACGAATGTGGATATAAATAGTTATTTGAGTCTTTTGGGGTTTATATTTTTATATATATGTATAATATATTTTACATACATTATATTTTTATATTTATATATATTTACACAAACTATTTAAAACACCGCTCTTAGTCGAATCCGGAGTCACGAACTATTTAATTTAATAACTATTATTAAATTTTTTAATATAGATCGATTTTGAGTATTTCACAATGTTTTAAAACATCGGACATATTAATTCCTCTGCTTTAAGTTTTAAGAACTAATTTGAGAACTTTAAATTTTTTTGGTCGACATTTTGGAGCCGCCATTTTGAATTTTAATTTTTTAACTAAATATTTGGATTTAGAGATCTCAAAAACCCCCGAATGAGCATTTTCAGCCAAATTCGTAAACTTAAAAAAAATTTTGGTCGCCATTTTGAATTTAAAATTTTCAATAACGGATTTGGATTCAGCGACTCCGAAAACCCTCGAGTAGGCATTTTTAGCAAGATTCGTTAACTTTTATATAACTTTTTTTTCGATGCCGCTATAGCGGTCATACACACTGGGGGCACGAATTATTTTTGCCTCTATAGACGTCAAACACTGTGAAGGGGTTAATCGGGGATTTTTGATGTCGCTAATTACGAATCTGGCATCAGATTTCCAAAATTCAAAATGGCGGATTCAATATGGCGGATAAAAATTAAAAATTGTTTGCATTTGTCTGAAATTCATTATTTGGGGGTTTGTGCGTTCGCAGATTACAAATCTGACATCAGATTTTTAATATTCAAAATCTGATGTAAGATTTGTAATCAGTGACCCCCAAACACCTTCATGTAATAAGTATCATAAAAAATAATTAACTTCTTAGTTTTAATGTCCGCCATATTGGATCCGCCATTTTGAATTTTGGAAATCTGACCTAAAGTCTCTTTTAACCTTTAAATCTTAGTCTAAGAGGCTGCTAAAGTTATTTTAATATGGATTTTTAGCAGGATGGTCGAGTCTAACACAAAATAAATTTTGAAAAAAATATAAAATTAAATTGCTTAAATTTGTTTTAAGGGGGGAAACCACATTAGAAGGTTTAAAAAATCGATTTTTTAATTGCATAAATCGATAGTAGGTATAATTATTCAAGAGTAGGCTCACAAAATTTCAAAGCGAAATTTGAAGTCTTTTATGTGATACAGATGGTAGACGGTGATCCCTCCGGTTTAGCCACGAACTCATGAAACATGTAACTAAGGGTGTCCGTTTTTTAATTGTCTCGTTTTGTTGTACATGGACTGAAGGTATAATGGAGATAAGGGAGAAATTTGCCAGAAGTTGCTTTATGGTGCTGGAATAGCAAATTAAAATGTAAGTGGTTTCTTACTCTTTTGAATATAAAATTTGCGAATCTTTATTTTCAAACGCGCTTTTCTGGAACTGACATTTTTTCATATTTTCGGGACGTCAAACTTAAACAGTAATCTACCGATCATTTTAAAATTTAGTAGTTTTATTCTATATAAATTATTTTTATTCAAACATTGTTGAAAGCAGCAGTAAAATGATGTCGAACTGTCATTGAATTTTAAAAAATTTATTCTTGCCTTAAAAAATACTTTAAGAATCCATAGAAATGAGCCTTCTAATGTGGTTTCCCCCCATAAAGAATATAAATTTTACTTTTTCTAAAAGACTTGAAAAAATAAGATACTACAGAAAAAGATTCGACTATAGTTATTTTTTACACTATGGAAATAAAAATAAATTGCATTTTCAATTGTTTACGATTTATTATGTACATCTTAGGCGATTTAGAGATAAAAATATAAAGCTTCAATTCTAATTTTTTGTAAAGTTCAATTATTTTCCAAATTTTCAGTAAGAATTCTCCAAAACTACAATTAGATTTAAAAATCCAATTCTTAATCAAAAAAATTAATATCGATAATTCTTCACAAAAATTGTAATTACAATTTTTCAGAATTTCCAAATTAAATTATTCAAAAATTCAATAATTTTTGTTAAACAAATATTTTAATACCTACTTATTATTTATTTTCTTAGAGGAATTAAATTTTTTTTAAATTTTAATGTGAAATGATTGGAAATTATTTTTATTCTAAAAATTACAACTGTAATTATTCCAAAATACAATTACTTTTTTTTAGAATTTTTAAATAAAATGATTTAAATCATTTTTTAGATAAAGGATTGAATTGTCTTTGGTTTTTTAAAATCGATTTGATAGAATTTGAAGAAATTGCTATAACTTTCTTTCTGTTGCATATTTCTTTGAAAATGTTTCAAGACAATAATTTTATGATACTAAGGAACATTTTAAAGCAAAAAAAGAAAAATCGATTTTTTTTAATCCTTGACCAGAAAGTTCCCTTAATTGTAGTTTTTTTCTTAACACTTAAAGCTTTAATAGTCTAACATAATTGGATCGAGGGATATTTGAATCGATTAAATTTGTTTACATTAGATCAATTTGAATTAATAAAGTTAAATTTAGTAACAAAATTTTTATATAGTAGCGAAACAAGATGAGTTTGTGATTCCTGAATTTATCATTATTTTAACAAAAATAAATATGAATTATTTTATTTAAACTATTAATGGGTATGAAATAGTGTAAATTCTCAATGAGAAAAGTATTTTTAGTGACAAGAATAAAAAAAAAAATGTTTTAAAATAGTAGCAAATCGTGAGAAAAGTAACAGAAAGTAGGTTTTAGTCAATGCGTGCAAAACGTGTGCGTATTCACAAAAAATCGTAAGGAACTGAAAATTGGAAAAGGCAAACTTTTTTTTACATATACATATACATTAGCTTTAATTTTTTTTATTCATTTACCCAGGCGCGAGCTGACAGTGAGTTCAGGCTTTACGAAGCTTGATTGAGACTTGGTCAGTATTGGTTGAAGATTGGTGGGACAGCGAAAGCAAGGCTACTTGAGTCCGGAATAGTAACATCGATGTAAACCTGACGCTCAGTCTTTGTTGAAGACTGGCGTTCAATCTTCAATCAATGCTGCGGAAACCGAAAGCAGGACTGAACAAGACTGCTTCCACTGTTCCCAAATTTACACGCTTCTCACGCGTTCATTCAATATAACGTGAATATATTAATTATTATTATTAATAATAAACAGTATTGTTATTAATATATATGTATTTACATATTTAATGACAATAAGTTATTATTATAATAATTATATTATTTTCATATAAATATTATATGACTAACAATAAATTTCATTTAACATAATAATATTGAAAAATAATTTTAGCAAAAAAAAAACACAATTTGTGATAATTTGTACATTTTTTAACTTCATTTTTGACAGACTTTTAATATTATTTACAAACAAGTTCACAAGTTTTTATTCACAACACTTATTAATTATACAGATTAAATAGTAATTTTATTATTTTATGTAACCGCTTATAATGAAAAAATCCGCTCGCATGTGGGATCGAACTCACGTCCCCCCGCCCCAAACGCATTCCGGAAGTCCTAGACGCAACCACTTAATCCGCACGGCCACTGAGTCTCGATGAGACCTCGGGCTAATGTAATATATTAATGCCAGTGCCGTATACTTTGTTACTTATAAGGGCAAAGTGAAAACTATGACTAAAAATTTTACACATACTAATCCTGAATTATTTTAATTATTAAAAATGAATATTAAATAATTCATAATAAAATTGTAATCATTACAAAATTCAACTTTTAAAACATTTTACAATTAAAAATATTTAATGGATAATTTAATAAACATCGATAAATAATTGATATTTTTTATTATTCAGTAACAAAATTATTAACATTTATTATTAGATATATTAATAATATATTATGTAAATAAATATAATTTGGAATAATAATGAATTATAATGTTAAATATTATAATTATTATTAATTATAATAATATTTATTAATTGAATAATAATTATTAAAATTATAATAATTAATAAATAAATAATAATTAATTAAATTAATATTAAAAGTTAACATAATTAATAAAATGATTAAATATGATGCAGTGTCAGGAATATTTATTGCACATTTTAATTATTATTTATTAATTATCTATAATAATTTTGAAAACATTTATAAAAAAAAATTTTCCATTTAACTTTCTTTAAATATGAATGTTACAATTAATAATATATTTATTTATCAATTGATAACTTAATGTTAATTATTATTATTATTATTTGAAACAATTATTATAATTATAATTATTATAATATTATTTAATTAAGTGAACACGGTAATAAATAAAGATAAACTGAATATTGAGTAAAGATTGATTCAAGCTTGAATCAAGATTAGATGTTCGAGCTTCACTCATAAAGACTGACCGAGTCTTGAATCGAGCATGGGACGAGCATTGGGTCCAATGTTGAACCAATATTGAACTAATATTGATTGACAGTGATGTAAAGACTGCTTCTACTGTGAGTTACCCACACTGAGCGTTCAAGACTCAATCAACCTTTAATCTATCGTCAGCATTGGTCTTTCGCGCCTGGGTATAAACATTGAAAAAAGCATTTTTTTCATAAAAATAATACTCCTTTATTAATTTATCATTGTTTAAAGAAAGCTTAATTAACATTTGCAGTTTCTTTATTTTTAGCTGTTTAAGTCTCGTTTTTTGGTATATTTCCTTGTATATAATAAAATAAATATTAAAGAAAAGCTTTTGTTAATTTATTTCTTTATATAACAATTCAAAAATTGTTTAAACAAAATAGTTAATGCCTCAAAACATTTTTAGAACATAGCTATAATGCTTTTGGTAATTATTAATAATATAATAGGCCTTCGTAAGCAACAATATTTGTTTAAAGTCAAAAAATTTCTCATTTTTTTATTTAACATTTAATAAACAATTAACGGAAATTTTTTTAAAATAAAAAACGTACGTTTTATGCAAAATTTTATTAGCTTTAACTTAAAAAAAAATTTTGTCAATCGGTTAAAAATTGTGGTCTAAAAATCAATTTGTCCAAAAGCGTGTTATTTGCCCCAGTGTGTGGCGGTCCGTGCACGACGCAACAAAAAATCAAAAATCTCCGGTTATAATTAAAAATACACACATTTTTTCGAGAATATAAAGATGTCTGTTATGTATAAATTTCATCAAAATTCTTGCTCTAGAAAGCATCAAAAATACACATTGTTTATAAAATTGTTATTAAAAATTAAAAATTTTTTTACAATTATTTTTATTTAAAAGAGTGCATATTAATTAACTACCAAAAAATCCCCATTAATTTCCAACAAATTAAATTTTAGTTATTAATTTTTTTTAAAATGATGTACAAATTTGTTATTGTAAGAAGTTATAAAAAATTTTTAATTTCGAAAAATGGTTAAAAGTGTTTCTTTAGTTTGTTGTGAACTATAGATTTTCATAAATGTTTTTACTTTTACAAAAAACTTAAAAAATTTTAGTCCGGGTTGACTTAATAAATACATTATTAAAAAGTTGACTTGCATTTTTAAGTATCTATAAAATTTATATATTTTACTCAACCATATTTTCAACATCTTTAATATTAGTGATAATTTTTAAAATTTTTCTGATACAAGATTCTCCACTTGCACCTGTTAAGGAAAAATATTCGCCAAAATACCGATAAATAAATTTAATTCTCCATTAAGGGCATTTGAACCTTGATGACGTTTCAGTTTGTGCAAAGCATGTGTGACGTCATCAAGTTTCAAATGCCCTTAAATGACGTTTAAAATGAGTTCAAGAACGTTAAAAATATTAATTAGCTTTAGAGAAATTAAAAATAAAGAAAAGCAAGCAAAATCAATATTTTTTTCATAGGTATATCCAACAAAGAAAACTTGACGTAATCTCTTCTATTAGGTGTCATTTTTATCATAACTTTATTATCTTTTAGGGAAACAATAGAGAAAACTTTTATTCTTTTTCTTTTCTATACGCTTAACGCTTTTTTACACTATAATGAAAAAAAGAGGTGTCCACTTAATTATGGTCGGTAGTGTGAGTTTCAAAAAAATTCGTGGCGGAGGGGAGGGGGCGGGGGGTTTTGAGGTATCAGGAAACAGGAAATAGAATGTCCCTATTTTTATTATTTACACTGTAAAAATGAAACTTTAAATTGAAATATAAATTATTAAAGAAAAAATTCGTCTAGAAGTGAATAACTTCTTTTAGGTTATCAAAAAAATAAATTATTCATATTCCTAGCAGGATAAACATACCGGCTAAAACCTGTTTCCTACTCTGTGAAAATTAATAATGTAATTCAATATAAAATACTGTAGTTATTTTAGAAAAAAATATTCTAATCGACTATGAGATTAATTTAATAAAATAATATTCCAATATATGTGATAAAAAAAGTTTGTTTTGAAAAACATGAGAACATTAAATTAAAAATAAACATACTGCTGTGATAATAAAAATAACAATATTTATCTCTTAAAGAATAAGACAAAAGAATTTGATTAACATTGTTACCCTGACGTACCATTTGATGGAACATTAAACACTGCTTTCAATCAAATATATTTCAAAAAACATTACATTACACGACTTTATATTCTAATCTAAATGCCATTTCTATAATAAAGAAGTTACATCGAACATAAAAAGAAGGCAACTATTGCTATTCTAAGAATGTAAAGGTGCAATCACATTATTTCAGAGAGTAGTCCCACGTAGTAGTGGATAAAGCCCTAAGCACAATGGATTCATTAACTGAAAAGGTGCCATCACATGTCGGCGTTAGGGTGCGATCCCATGAGAGCAGAATACGTCGACCGAAAGCAGAAAATCATGAGTGCAAAAGAGATAGGTAGATATTGTGTTGTTCTTTTCACTCTCATGATTTTCTGCTTTCGGTCGACGTATTCTGCTCACATGGGATCGAACCCTTAAAGGTACGATCTCACCCTCACCTCGGTTGCCTGCCTGACTGCAAGTTGTCATGGTAACACATAAGAGTAAGAGAGTCAGACAATTCCAAATTTTATGTTTTCTCTCTCTTACTCTAGTTGGTGTGACCGTGCAATAAGGGTACGGTCACACGACTTTTGGAAAAACCGTTCATATCTTTCTCTCTCCTATTACATAGGCATAAGTTTGTCTCATTCTACATTTTCCGTTTTTGGAAAAAGTAAGAAAATGTAAAGTGAGAAAAACTTATGCCTATGTCATAGGAGAGAGAAAGACAAGAATGGTTTTTCCAAAAGTCGTGTGACCGTACCCTAAGGGTTCAGTCCCATGGAAACGTTTTGCGTTGCGTTACGATTACGTTCCGTTTAAGGTGCATAATGAAATTTCATAAAATTACATTATTTTAAATATTAATTTAATATCGTTGAAATATTCAATATTCCTTCTCTAATGGAGCGTTTACACCTTCGGTAAAAATTGTTCAGAACGGAAAATCCACATTGAAGTAAGAGAAACAGATATACAGCCTGTCTCTCTTACGCCAATATAGATTTTTCATTCTGGACAATTTTCACTGAAGGTGTAAATACTCGATAACTCGTTCTTCCGTTAACGGTTGTTGTAAAGGTGTTTCTGCAAAAGCTTAAAAATGTATTTGTTTTTTGTCTGATTCAGAAGAATTGCACATTCTGTAATATAAAATCAATCAAAAGATGTATTTTCAAGTTAATATAGAAACACCTTTACAGTTTAGTGTGAATGACATTTTTTGGTAAATTTTTTTCTTCGACATACGTGTAAATGCACCCTAATAGTGACGTCAACATGTCATGTCCACATGTTACGTGCTGAGTTTGACGTAACGTTAAAATTTCCGTAAGAACCAGATATCGAATAGTCTATTGGTTCAGTTATGATGTTTGAAATACTGTTAGAGCCAGTAGATTAATAGTCGATTGGTTCTTCAATAGTAGACATTGGAAATTGAAAAGAGTTCAAATTTGAATTAAATTATTTAATTAATTTTATCAAAACTTAAAATTATCACTGAACTAAATGAAGAATATTTAAGGTATAAATCAAACTGTTTATTTAAAGTTATTTATATGAATATTAATTAAAATCACTGAAGTTAAATTATTAAATTATATTAAAATGTTTATTTAATTATTTAAGGTTCTTTAAATAAATAACACTGATATTTATAGTTGGAAAATTTAACAAAAACCAACTTTTATTAGTTTTTAGTCACTTATTCTTTTTACCCAGTTTTTAGAATAATGTTTATAAGTTCACAAATTATTTTAAGTTATAATGTTTGAACACGAGTCGCGCGAATACGAAATAATCTGACAATTTTTGGTTTAACATTGGTTTTTATAGTTAACAAAATAGGAGGGATTTATCCCTTCCACAAGCAATTTGACCAATCAAATTGCTGACGTCATATAATTTTATGTTCGTTTAACCAATTAATATAAAATGGGCTTAGACTAAAATCTAGTAATTCTGCGAAAAGGTTGCGCAATCGATGATTGACATTTTTGGTTTCGTATTTCGTTTTATGGTTTTTAGCGACTTCGTGGCGCCAAGGGTAATAAATGAACTATTTTTAATATCATTTCCTAGAAAACTACCCTTATTCTGAGTAGTATTGCGCATGATCGTCGCGTATAGCTCATTGACATCGAAGTTCACACGCGTGTATAACCTTGAATTTTGACCTTTTGGCACGTGTATATATTCAAACACGTGTAGTTTATTAATTTATATTTGTACATAGTATTTTAATAGAATTGAGAGAGAAATGCATTATTATATTAATGATTATTAATATTAATCTAATTTGTTATTTATTTTAATTAAATACTAGTGATTTAAGTTTACTAAGTTACTTAAAGTGAAATTCCCTATGTTAATAAGTCATAGTGACTTTTGTATTTCTTTAAATTCACTGAATCACCACAGATGACACTAGCCGTGACGTCACACCACACTTGTGTGCTAACCACTGTTAACTGAGCTTTATGTTCCTATTGAAGACGTACCATAAGAATAAGTCTGAAACTAGCAAGGCTAGTAATAATAAACAAAAACCAACTAAAGAAATGTTTCAAGCCTCAATTTATTTTTATGTCAACTACTTGTGCTAGAAGCAATAGAATTAAAAAGAATTCAATAAGTATTTTTAAAAACAAGCCATGGATACAGTTCCTAAAGGACTCAGAAGCTTAAGAGCTTGCTTAGGATGTTCTTTAATCAAGGTAAATATACACTCATGAACTGTAACAAAAATTATTATCTAATACTTTTAAAATAAGAAATTACACATACTCATTTCTTCCTTTTGTTTACATTTGAAATTCGTTATACTTGCCTAGATTATTGTTTATTTGTTTTGACATCTTATAAAGTTGTTTAAGAAGTTTTGTTTATGTTTTTAATAAAATACGTTGCGTATGAGATTAAGATTCTAAATATTTATCACAGTATTAACATCTGTTAATTATTATTAACTTAATAATTTTACTGTGCGAAAAAAGTGAAAGTTATCTTTTTTTGACTTACAGTCGTTAAATAAATATGACGCGCTTCCAAGAAAGGTATATCTATATACATAAGAGGCAAAAAATTTTAGGTTATGTTTATAATATCCTAACTTGTCGAAAACTATTTATTTTGTTATTTTGAGTGATAAAAATGTAATTTAGTTAAACCTTTTTCTTTCATCTATCTAGAATCCTCTACATTTAATGAAAAGATATAAACATCCGCTTTTATTTCTATTTCTTATAGACGATAGATCAATTTGAACTTGACGGCTGTGAAAACTGCAACTTATTTCTTAGAATTAAAAATGACAGAGATGCAGTCATGCGGTGCACAAGTGGAAATTTCGATGGGTAAGAATACAGTAAAATTTATTTCATTTTGCTACTAAATTCTTTTTTTTTTATTCATCACCTCAGATAGTTTATAGAAAGTAATTTCAATAAGATATAATAAAATAAATTTTATTAAAAAAACAGGTTGTATTTCTATTAATTTCAGTAATTATCAATTTTTTCAAAATATATTTGTGAAATAATATAAATGAACTATATTATTTCCTTTTCTCTATTATATGATGAATAGAGAGAGTTAATATAAAGTATTACTCTGACATTCTCACACTTTAATAATTTTTTACTTTAACCCCTTCGCTGCTGTTCCAGGCTTCACAGTCTGTCCCCTATTTCCCTAAAAGTTCCCTTTTTTTAATGTTGGTCCCTAAACGTACTCTATTTTCAAAATTTCCCCTATTTTTTTATTTTATCTTTTAATGATTAATTCACGCCAAATTTAGCAAAGTGCCGTTGAAACTTTCAATTGGAAACTTTTGTTTTGAAAGTTTCAAATCTTGAAATTTATGATCGATGAAATTTTTCATGAAATTTATAAAATTTTGATGAAGTCAAGTCTCAATTATTTTTTAAAGTTGGTTCTTTTTGTAATATTATTTATTATTACAAAAGTTTTAATGCAATTATCTTGATAAATAACAAAATTCTTCACAGAAATTCAATAATTTTTAGGAATTTTAATAAAATTCTTTACAAAATTCAATTATTTTCATAAATTTCAATATTTAGCCCAAGAATTCAATTATTTTTAATTGTAATAAAATTCTTCGAAGAAATTCAATTATTTTTAAAAAATTTCACAAGTATCTCGTCAAGAATTCAATTATCTTTACACATAGCAAAATTTTTCGCCAAAATTCAATTATTTTCAAAAATTTATAAAAATCTTTGCAAAAGTTCAATTACTTTCAAAAGTTTTTTGCAATTTAATAATTTTCATAAAATTTATCAACAGATTTAATTATAGAAAAAACTTTTTGATACAATTCTACGAAAAGATTCAATTATTTTCATAAATAATAAAATTTCATTTACGAATTCAATTATTTTCATCATTTAATTTCAAATATTTTTAATACAATTTTAAATAAATTCCTTGAAAAATGCAATTATTATTAAAAACTTTATTAAAACTTGAGGAAAGAATTCAATTTTAAGAAACATTCAATTATTCAATAAAACAAGAAAATTCGTGGCAATAATTCTAATATTTTCATAAATAACATTTAATTCGTCGCAGAAAATCAATTATTTTCAAAAAATTTTAAGTAATTTTGCAAAAGTATTCAATTAGTTTGATAAACAAGAAATCGCATAAATTCTTCCCATAAAAGCAATTATTCTAAGGAATTTTAATAAAATTCTTTTCCAAAATTCAATTATTTTGATAAATATCAATATTCATCACAAGAATTCAATTCTTTTGAAAAGTAATAAAGTACGTTGCAAAAATTAAATTATTTTCAAAATTAATAAAATTCTTTGAGAAAATTCAATTATTTTCAAAATTAATAAAATTCTTCGCAGAAATTCAATTATTTTTAAAGAATCTACAAAAAATTGTGAACATTTCAATTATCTTTATAAATGAATAGCAAAATTCGTCGACAAAATTCAATTATTTTCAGGAATTTGAATAAAATTCATTTTAAAATTCAATTATTTTCATAAATAATAAAATTCTTTGACAATATTCAATTCTTTTGAAAAGTTATAAAATACTTTGCAGAAATTAAATTATTTTCAAAATTTTTTTTAAAAATTCTCGTCAAGAATTAAATTATTCTTATAAATAGATAGGAAAATTTCTTCTCAAGAATTAAATTACTGTCAACAATTTTTGAAAAATTCTTCTCAAAAAGTCAATTATTTTCAAAAATTTTAATAAAATTCTTCTCATGAATTCAATTGTTTTCAAAAATTATTATTTAAATTCTTCTCAGGAATTCAATTATTTTTAAAAAATTGAATAAAATTCTTCAAAAAGTTTTCAATTACTTTCAAAAATTGTTCTAAAATTCTTTAATATAATAAATTTCATTAAACTTTTAATTAAATTCCATAAAAGAAATTAAATATTTTCAAAAGTTTTTAATACAATTCTTCGTAAAAATTAAATTTGAAGAAGCATTCATAGTATATTAAGCAACAAGAGGATAAAGGCAGCCATTTCTTTAGGGTGATTTTTGTGACATGTGACATTTTATTTTTTAATTTTCAGTCCCCTATTTCCCCTAAAATACTTTTTAGGGGCACTGTGAAGCCTGCTGTTTGGAAAAATATTCATATGATTGGCCCAAAATGTCCAACAAAATCTGGTCGATGAATTTTTATGAAACTTAGTATACACACGTTTTTGCGGTCGTTGAATTCAAATACGTCAAGAAAAAAAATTCAAAATGTCGGATCCAATATGGCGGGCAAAATTTTTCAATTTCAAGCAGACATTTATAAAAATTAGTATATAAAGGTTTTTTGGGTCACTGATTCTAATTTTGACGTAAATAAATTACGTCCGCCATTTTGGATCCTCCATTTTGGATTTCTAAAAGTAAATGTCTGAATTCAGCGACTCAAAATACCCCTTGATACTGAAATTGATAAAAATCCGAATAAATTTTACAAATCATGTCCGACATTTTGAATTTTTATAAATAGAGATAGGAACTTTCTGCTAAAGCATAAAAGCAGAATTCTGCTCGAAAATTTTTAAATGTCATAAAACGTCTAAAAACCTTATAAAACACGTTTTTTAATAGAAATTATATGAAATTAAATCAGCAGAAAAAAGCATAATTTTATCATTTAAGCAGCAGAATTTTTATGTGCGAAATATGCCGCCAAATTGGTGATTTTTAGCCGATTTTCAGCAGATATTGAGCAGAATTTGAAGGTTAAATAGTTATTGGGCTTCTAAACATGACTAAATAAGTTAAAGTATACGTAAACAAGTAATTTAGTTAATAAAAGATCTGTGTTTATTTAACAAAAGCTTTAGAACAGTTATAAAGTTAAAAAAATTAAATTAAAAAAAAAAAAAAATTTTGGTTTATTTCACGTGAACGGTCTTGTTTTTGACAGAGTACTTGCCTAATGTCAAATAAATCATTTTTAAACAAATAAACCCAAAAGAACGAAAAATAAAAAAAAAATTTTAATTAACAACATGTAAAAATACATTTAACATTTCGCCCCAGGGTGCATTTTTGGCTTTAACAACAAATATAAAAAATCTAACTAAATATCCGGAGCCTCATTTAGCAAATACCTTTAGGTATCTCTTCAGGGGACCCAAATAATGAAGTAAAAAATCTCGGTGAAAATAAATGCAAAAAATATACTTAAAAGTTGATATTTTCTTTTACGAAAAAAATTTTCAAAAGTAGGGTGAAAAAAAAATTTAAATATGGACACCACAAAAATTAACAGAATGTCACATAACTCCGGACATTTATTTAGGGTGATAACACCCTTCTATAATTAAAATTGCAGGGCTCGAACTAAGTCCGTAAATCCCGTAAAAGTCCGTAACTTTGCTTGAAGTCCGTAAAAGTCCGTTTTTTTGAAAAAAGGTCCGTAAAGTCCGTAATTTGATTAAAAAAGGTCCGTAAAGTACGTAAATTATACGATATAATTTGGATAATTTTAGAGAAATTACAAATGATTGAAGGAATTTAATTATTTTCAAAAGCAATAAAATTCTTCGCAAAAATTCAATTATGTTTAAAATTTTTTAAGAATTCTCGTCAAAATTTCAATTATCTTTAGAAGTAATTAAATTCTTCTCCAAAATATCAATTATTTTCAAAAATTTTAATAAAATTCTTGGAAAAATTTCAATTATTTTCAAAATTTTTCCTCAATTCAATTATTTTTAATAGGTATCTATACTATTCTAGTAAAATTTTCCAAAAGAATTCAATTATTTAAAAAAAATTAATAAAATTCTACACAAACTTTTAATTATTTTCAAAAAATAATAAAAATTTTACAGGAAATTCATTAATTACAAATTTTTTAATAAATTTCTTCGCAATATTCAATTATTTTCATAAATAATAAAATTTTTACAGGTATTTAATTTTTTTGGCAAATGATAAAATTCTTATTAGGAATTCAATTATTTTGATAAATAATAAAGCTAATTGCAGAATTTCAATTATTTTTAATACAATTTTAATCGAATTCCTCGAAAAATGCAGGGCTCGAACTAGGTCCGTAAATCCCGTAAAAGTCCGTAACTTTGCTTGAAGTCCGTAAAAGTCCGTTTTTTCGAAAAAAGGTCCGTAAAGTCCGTAATTCGATTGAAAAAGGTCCGTAAAGTCCGTAAATTATACGATATAATTTGGATAATTTTAGAGAAATTACAAATGATTGAAGGAATTCAATTATTTTCAAAAGTAATAAAATTCTTTGCAAAAATTCAATTATGTTCAAAAATTTTTAAAAATTCTCGTCAAAATTTCAATTGTCTTTAGAAATAATTAAATTCTTCTCCGAAATATCAATGATTTTCAAAAACTTTAATAAAATTCTTGGAAAAATTTCAATTATTTTCAAAATTTTTCCTCAATTCAATGATTTTTAATAGGTATCTATACTATTATAATAAAATTTTCCAAAAGAATTCAATTATTTAAAAAAAATCTCCTCAAATTCTACACAAACCTTTAATTATTTTCAAAAAAAATAATAAAAAGTTTACAGGAATTTCATTATTTACAAATTTTTTTATAAATTTCTTCGCAATATTCAATTATTTTCATAAATAATAAAATTTGTACAGGCCCGTGTGGAAAAGTGGTGTTGGCCCACGCCGGGGGCCCGCATGGATCGTCCACATCCAGGAGGGGCCCACGTGGGTGATCCAGGCGAGGCCCCTCATGGAAACGACATGCTGATCGATGAGGGCGCCCGCATGGGCGATCCACGCGGTCGCCCTCGTCGGCCCCCTGCGTGGCCCTTGCGTTTGCCCTCATCTTTGCCCTCAACTTACTCTCACCTTTATTTTTCAAAATTAAGTTAATAAATTCATTATTTATTAATAATAAACAAGTTCAATTATTAATAAATAACATTGTTACTTAACGATTTTAACTTTTTTTAATTAAATCGTGACCAAAAAAAAAAATCTGACGCACGCGGGTATAGAACCTACGACCTACGGACTATCAGACAAACGCTTATCATTCTATCTTTAATTATTATAAAACACGAAGTAATCGATCGCTCCGAGTCGAAGACTCGGAGTTATCGATATCTTCATGTTTTTTAGTTATGAAAAAATCTAATTTATAGTTTTAAGTAAAATGTTCTCTTATATATTTTTGTCAGTAATTGGTCCGTAAATGGTCCGTAATTTTTCATTTTTGGTCCGTAAAGTCCGTATTTTTAAATACTTTCACTGGTTCGAGCCCTGAAAATGTAATTATTCTTAAAAATTTTATTAAAATTTATCAAAGAAATTTAATTATTTTAATAACCTCTAATTCAATTTATTTATTAGAATTTAAATATTATTTTTAATAAATTTTTAATTAAATTTCTTTAAAGAATAAAATTATTGCATTCAAAATTTTTAATGCAATTCTTTGCGTAAATTATCAATTTTCTTTATAAATAATAAAATTCTTCTTCAAAATTCAATTATTTTCAAAAAACTTTTAATAAAATTCTTGGCAAAATTTCAATTATTTTCAAAAATTTTGCCTAATTTAATTATTTTTAATATCTATTTTAATAAAATTTTGCAAAAGAATTCAAATTATTTTAAAATTGATTGATACAATTTTTTAAAAGAATTCAATGTAATAATTCATATGTAATTATTCAATAAATTGTTTTTTTTTTGTTTTTAAATAATGAAATTCTCGTAGAATTTCCTCATAAAAATTGATTTAAAAATGGATTTCCGTTAAAATTTTAGATTATAATTGAATATTAAAAGTATTAGAGCGTAAAGTTTTAGAAATAATTAAATTTTGAAAAGGTTTCAGATTCAAATCTTTGAAAATTTGAATTTTTCATATTTTTAACTGAGTAACAATTCTGTGGAATTAATTTTTTTGAGAAATTTTAATTGCGAATTTTTTTTTATATTATTTGAAGTTTTTATTTTCTAATACATATTTAATTGAAGAATTTACAAATAATTGAAAATTCGTAAAATTGAATATTGTAAAGAAATGGATTTGAAAATTGTCAAAAAACTTTTTCGAAAATTATTAAAAATAATCGATTTTAAGAAGAATTTTAGTTAAAAATTCTTGAAAATAATAATTGAAATGATAATGATTTTATCACTCTATCTTTAATTTATTATAAAACATGAAGTAATCGATCGCTCCGAGTCGAAGACTCGGAGTTATCGATATCTTCATGTTTATTAGTTATGAAAAAATCTAATTTATAGTTTTAAGTAAAATGTTCTCTTATATATTTTTACCAGTAGTTGGTCCGTAAATGGTCCGTAATTTTTCATTTTTGGTCCGTAAAGTCCGTATTTTTAAATACTTTCACTGGTTCGAGCCCTGAAATTGCAATGCTCTAACTATTTCCCTTCAAAAGATAATGAATTTTAACTGTTTTCACAATTTAACTTTTCGCCACAGTCTCCCCTATTATATGTTAATATCGTTTTATGTACAGTGTAAAAACACTTCAATTATAACAAAAAAAAGTTTATTTAATTTTAAAAAGTTCATTTTTTCTTAAATTTTATTCACTATTAAAATGCTATTCAGTGTAATAAATTACCATATTATATGCATAATTAAAATCGCTGTATTCATTTCCTAAACTTTTTCATTTTATTACCATTTGTTTTAGTAATAATGTTTTTATTATATATAAAGCAAAATTGATAACTAATTAAAGCCGCATTTCAGCAGAATTGGGCTATTTGTTTCAGCATAATTTGACCTCTCAAAAAAGCAGAAAGTTCCTAACTCTATTTATAAATGAAGGTCAAATTCGAATAAGTGTTTACTGTTTATTAAGTATGTTTAAAAATATCTTTTAAATATGTTATGTTTAATCAAAGTATTCATATGTTTTCAGCATGATTGCAGTCATGTGTCCAGAAGATAGTTGGGTTTCAAAGTGGCAGAGAATTAGTGAGTAATGTATAATATTAAATTAGATTGCAATAAGATTCTTCAGATTGGTTTCAGTAATAGAAATAAAAATCGTTTTAATATAAGTATAACTCATTTGTCCTATTCTGTAAGTAAAAAATAAATACTCATCGTAAAAATCTTGTTCTTACTTAAAATTCTTGTTTTACTCGCATGTTACATATTATACTATTATTTGTTCCAGGTAAATTTACAAAAGGCGTTTATGCTCTTTCTGTTTCTGGAACATTACCTAGAGAAGCAATAAAAGATATGAGAAGTCAAGGAATAACTTACAGAAATCGAGATACAAGTCAACGCTGATAATAAGAAATTTTTAAACCAATTACAAAGTAATGCATTCCATGGAAAGGAATGTTTTTGGCTACTCTAAAAAACAATTTCTTTTATGATTTAAATCTTTGCCGAATAATTTTGCAAGCAATAATATTTCACGTCAAATACTTTTGAATTATAACATTACGAATAAATTCCATAATTTGTTTTTACTTTTTACTTGATAATCAATAATCTAAAATTATACATTCTTTAATTTTAAAAATAAAAGTTTTGTACATGTATTGCATTAAAAAATTATAGTTTACTTTATTTCGATGTTGGAAATTTTAAAAACTGTCTACTTGAAATATCGTATATTAAACTAATTAAATATGTAATATGACGAATTTTTTTTGTTTTCAAGGTTGCTTTTTCAAAATAAAAAACTATCTTTTCATTAAAATATCGATTTTTTTTAATATACTCTTTGCTGTGCATTTTTTTGAGAACCGATTCTTAGACATAAGAGACGAGAAATTGCCTTTTCTTTTCATTCTTCATGCATTATGACTTAATTTTTGAAAATATAAGAAAAATTACAGTAGAAATTCTATTATCTGGATTTTCTATTATTCTGACAAATTTTCGGTTCTAATTTTCTTTATTAATTTTTTTAACACCTGGTTCTTTTTTCTCCACAGAAGATATAAGAAAAAGAAAAAGATGTTTATTATACTTTGTGAGTGCAAAAAAATCCTGATTTAACTGGTTTGGTAAGTTATTTTAAGATTAGAATTCAATTATTTTTATTAAAATTTTAATTAAATTATTCGAAATAATTGAATTATTCTTTAAATTTTTCATAAAATGATTCAAAAAAATTCAATTATTTAGGTACAAAAATTTTAATAAACGGATTTTTTATTTAATAAAATTTATATTAACCCAAATTTTTTATTTATAAAAATTTTATTTAATAGAATTTCTATTTAATCCAATTTTTATTTAACTGTGTTTCTACTTATAGTTAGATTTTTAAGTTTTAGAATTTTTAATTCATGAAATCTCTAGTGGTTCGAACATTTATTATTATCACGAATTGTTATTTTATTTTATTCGGCAAAATATTTCGATATTTTAAAATTAACCCCTCAGAAATTATTAACAAATTAAAAAATAAAGTCTCGAACAAATGGAAATTTGGTGAAATAGAAATTCTGTTATTAAAAATTTGGATTAGTATATAGAAATTCAGTTGAATCAGAATTCGGTTAAATAAAAAATCATCGGTATAAAAGATCTGTTTAATCTAAATTTTATTTTATATTTTTATCAAATTCTGTTAAGTTTATTTTTTAAATATTTTATTTATTTAAATGTTTAATTTTTAAATTAAAATTTGTTTTTAATAAATTCGACTAAGGTTTTGACTAAGGTATTTTGGGAAATATTCATTCGCCCCATAAAATACAAATTTTTCAAAATGTTAAAAGTGTTAAAATTTCAGGGTTGCCACGCTTTTACTCATTTCAAATTCCCTGACTTTTCCAGGTTTTCCAGGCTAAAAAAACGGAATTTTTCCAGGTTTTTAAAACTACATTTTTTATATTTTACAAAATTTTTAATTCAAACCTTTTTGAAATTAAACATCTTATAAAAACTTGTTATAAAACATGAAAATATCGATCACTCCAATGCAATCGATATCTTCCCAGTGGGCAAAAAACCATCATTGTTTTAAAAACGTTCCAAAAACGTTTTTAGAACGTTTTATGTCTGCAAAATAATGTTCCAAAAACGTTCCATTGCTTTTAAAAAGTTTTAGAACCATATAACCTTTTGGGACATTATTTTGCAGACATGAAACGTTCTAAAAACGTTTTTGGAACGTTTTTAAAACAATGATGGTTTTTTGCCCACTGGGTTCATGTTTTATAATAATTAAAAATGTTGGACTGATAAAATCATCATTTTATACCTATTATTATTATAAGAATATTGTTACTGTAACTTATTCAAAATTACTTTCATTATTTTAATTCAATTATTGTTTTCCACAATTTTTAACTAAAATTCTTCTTTATAAAGTGTAAATTAATTATTATTAATAATTTCTGAAAAATTTCTTTCAACATTTTCCAATCCTTTTGTTTACAATTCAATTTTACGAAATTTCATCGATTATTCAGGTATTCGGAAATTCTTCACTTAAATATATATATTAGAAAATAAAAACTTGAAATAACTTTAAAAAAATTCAATTCAACTTTTACAAAAAAAATTAAATCTACAAAAGTGTGAAAAATTCAAACATTCAAAGATTATAATTTGAGACCTGCTTTTCAAAACTCAATTATTATCTAAAGTTTTAACTGAAATTCATATTTCAATCAATTATTATTAGAAAATTCTACGACAATTCAATTATTTAAATACAAAAAAAATAATTTATTGAATAATTGAATGTTTTTTACAATTCAACTCGCATTTAAAGAATTTTATAACAACAAATTTTTAAATAGGTAATTAAAATTCATTTGACGAATTTCAATAAAATTTTTAAGAATAATTTCATTTTTCGAGAAATTAGATTAAAAATGTATTAAAAATAATTTAATCTCTGTAAAAAAATTTCATTGAATTGAGAAAAGTTTTTGAAAATAATTGAAATTTTCTCAAGAATTTTATTAAATTTTTTTAAATACCTAATTGAAATATTGCCAAGAATTTTATTAAAATTTTTGAAAATAATTGAATTTTAGAGAAAAATTTTAATATTTATAAAAAAAATTGAAATTTTGACTATAACTTTTTTAAAACTTTTGACCATAATTGAATTTCTGCTAAGAATTTTATAACTTTTGAAAATAATTGAATTCTTGAGACGAATTTTTTAATAATATTTCTTTTTTAAATACCTAATTATTTTTAATACAAAAATAAATAATTTATTGAATAATTGAATGTTTCTCAAAATTGAATTCTCATAAAGAATTTTATTAACAAATTTTTAAATAATTGAATTCTTTTGACGAATTTTAATAAAATTTTAGATATAATTACATTTTTTGAAGAATTCGATTAAAATTGTATCAAAAATAATTGAAATTTTGCAATGAGTTTTATTATCTACGAAAATAATAATTGAATCCCTGTAAAAAATCGTATTACATATTTATAAAAATAATTGATTCTCTTTTAACATAAATTGAATATTTTTGAAAATAATAGATTTATTGCGAAAAAATTTATAAAAAATGTTTAAAATAATTCATTTTTTTTGGAAAATTTTATTAAAATAGTATATATTAAAAATCATTGACTGGAGGAGAATTTTTGAAAAAAAATTGAATTTGCTAAAAAGAATTTCATTAAAATTTTTGAAAATAATTGAATTTTGGAGAAAAATTTTAATATTTATAAAGATAATTGAAATTTTAACGATTAATTTTTTTAAACTTTTGACCATAATTGAATTTCTGCGAAGAATTTTATTACTTTTGAAAATAATTGAATTTCTTTGATGAATTTGAATAAAATTTTTAAGAATAATTATACATTTTTCGAGAAATTCCATTAAAATTGTATTACAAATAATTGAAATTTTGCGATGAGTTTTATTATTTATGAAAATAATTGTAAATCTATAAATTTTTTGATTATTTATGAAAATAATTGAATTATTGCGAAGAAATATTGTAAAGGCAACTCTTTTAAAATTGAATTAAGAAAATTGAATTAAAGAAAAATTAGATTTCAAGAATAAGCACAATGACTTTAGAAAACAATAATTTTCCAGGATTCCAATCAAAATTCCCTGACTTTTACAGGTTTTTTCAAGGTTTATAAAAATTCCCTGACATTTCCAGATTTTCCAGGTTTCCAGGTTGCGTGGCAACCCTGTAAAATATTGCTGAACTTATACTAGAAATTTATTTTTGATTTTTCGATTTCATTCAAATTGGAAAATTTTCCTGACAAAAAATAATATTATAATTGATAAATTCCCTTCCTAATTAATAATGTTAATAATATCAAATAATAATAATAAAAGACGTAGAAAACTAAATAATATAGAGGGGCAAAATTAAAAATACTGGGTTTAAAATATTCTGCAGCCTACAAATTAATCTTAAAATCGAAGTTTGATGAATTTTAATTAGAAATTCTTAAAAGTTTGAATAATTTTCGTAAAATCGAGTAATATACTTAACCAGGGTGTCTAGCGAACCGGGAATCCGGGAAAAACCGGGAAAACCCCGGGAATTTTTTTTTCCCGGGAAAAACCGGGAAACCCCCGGGAATTTTCTTTTAAATCCGGGAATTTTTTTATGAAGTACTTTATTATGTTGTTGGAAAAAATAGTTACATTTTTTCAACGCTTAACTTAATTTTTTTTCAATTTCGAATTGTATATTGATTCTCTTCGTATATTAGACAATGTTTTATTATTGTCCAATTAAGACCTAACTTATATGGGAAATGATTTTCGATGTGACAATCCAGTGGGCAAAAAACCATCATTGTTTTAAAAACGTTCCAAAAATGTTTTTAGAACGTTTCATGTCTGCCAAATAATGTTCCAAAAACGTTCCATTGCTTTTAAAACGTTTTAGAAACATATAACGTTATTGGGACGTTATTTGGCAGACATGAAACGTTCTAAAAACATTTTTGGAACGTTTTTAAAACAATGATGGTTTTTTGCCCACTGGGAAGCTTGTGCCAAATTTTTACAGTGATGCGACACCTGTTTTTGATTTTAAACATGAAATTACCGTCAAGTAAATCACAATACAATTCTTATTATAAGTTTTACAAATATTACGATTAAATTTACTGTAAAATTTTAGTTTTCAATTATCCGGGAAAATTATTTACATACCGGGAAAAAACCGGGAAAACCCCGGGAATTTTATATTTCTAAATTACTAGACACCCTGTTAACGATCAATTTGACATAAAATTGATGAGTTATTTCTTTTTGGGTTAGATTTTATGCATTTTTTTATTAAGTGAACCTTATTTACGGTTCAATTTTCATCAAATTGACGTCAAAATTTCTCAATTTAATGATCAAATGTAATAGAAAAGTGGATAAATTAATTAATTTAATAATGAATTTTACTAGGGTTAAATTTTGTTTTTCAATCATAAAGTAATTATTTTAACTTTTATTCACTTTACAGGTTTCGGTTAAAGTATCTTTCATACAAATTTTTAACTAACTGATCTAACAGCGAGTCACGGGTTTTCTTTTCTTGGTCCTAGTTTCCGAAAATAATTGTTTTTTATATTGTAAAAAATGGTGTCGGACGGTGTAATATACAGGTTACCTCTGCTACAGAAGTTTATATTTTATATAATTTTTTATCTACATAAAAGAATATTAAAAAACTTAAAGTTGAAATAAGAAAATAACATTAAATTTATTTTAAAAAATGTATTTCTTGATTTTAATAAACAATTTGGAATTAAAAATGTAAGTTATTTAGACAACGTTGACCTTAGACAGTAGAGCCTCTGCAAAAAACTATAAATATACGTGGAGCAACGTCTTCAGTATAGGTCATACACTTACCAAAACATGAATGTGTTCACAACTCCCATCGAAAGTGATACATATTTTTTTATTATAAGAAATGTACATAAAACTCTCTTATTCATCGATCTTAAAATTTGAGGTACAATTTTCATACAGAAATAAGTGCGGTTCTAAGAATAATTTATAATATGCTTTCTATTCGTTTTTCTTTAATAATATTAATATATGAATTTACTTCACTATTTCCACTGTTCAGATTAAATGTTGATCAGTTTTTAGTATTTTGCTTTTAATAATAAACTGTTTTACACAACACTATAGTTGAAGCTGAAACCTTTTACAGAATTATTAAATAGGTTAGTAAAAAAACTAATCAGTTCATAAATTATAATTTGGAAAAAATTAATGAATGTTATTATTAATATTCATTAGGACTTTTTTAATTTTATTTTGCTGACCTTAAAATTTAAAAGCATTCTATGATTCATTGTTTGTTATTAATTAATTATGTATATATTTTGACTTAGGTAGATTCAATTCAGAAGTGTGTCTAATTTAAAAAAAATTGAAAATCTGATGGAATCCAAGGATATCATTAAACCATTTAGGGTTTAGGAAACTAGTAATTAGTAATTAATTGTAATTTAAATTGTCTAACTTTTTCACTGTCATACGAAGAATGTATTCTTATTTCAACCAGGAATAATAAACATATATTTTTTGTTAAATACAGGGATGGCAACCGAAACCGATAACTGAAAAAACAGAAATTTTTAAAAAACCGAAAACCAGAAACCGAAACAAAAAAAAATTATCTGAAACTGAAAACTGTAAACCGAAACCCGTATTATAAAAATTTAAAACCCTTTATTTCAAAACCTAAATTTTTGAATTTTAATATAAAAGTGAAACTAAGTAGAACTAAAAATTGGACAAGTGCGGGGTTGCTCTCGCACTGAAATGGGAGAGATTCCGTACACCAATATTAAAATCATTTTTGGTACAAAAAAATAAATGAAAAAGAAACATTGAAGTATGGTTTGTCTAATTTTGTAAGCAATAAGTAGAGGAACCAAATTTTCTGATCACAAATAATTAATTTAAAAAAATTGTAAAAAAAAATTTTAAAAAAGTTTTTAAAATTTTCTTAAATTAATTATTTGTGATCAGCTTGTAAAAGTATACTAGCATACCAATTTTTGAAGAAAATAATAATTTATCATCATTTTCTATAGAAAATAATGATGAATTATTATTTTCTTCAAAAATTTCTATGGTCCCACTCTGATTTTTACATGCTTTCGATTGGGATAGGTTAGAAAAAAATAAAAAACACCGATTTTGAGATATATTGAAATTAAGAATTTGACCTTGAATTTCAAGGTCAAATTAAAAGAAAACAACTTTTTTTCATCACCAGCTTATAGCCCGTGAAAAACCCTTTAAAAATCACTATTCATACTTTAAATTTGATTAATTTTACTTATCAATATATTAAATCGAAAAAAGATATTTTCAAAAAAATCAAAATTTTGAAACTCCATAACTCAAAAAATATTTTATTAAATTAAAAAAAAATTATATTTACACTTCTACTAATAATAGTAACCTTTTTGGTGAAAGGAATTGGTTGCCTAGGTTTAGGGGTTATTACAAATAACTCATGTAAGTAGGCAATTGTCCTAATGGGCCTTGTCGTTTGACTTCGGGCTTATAATAATTAAAAATTGATAAAATCATTATTTTATATTATAAGAATATTGTTACTGTAATTCCTTCAAACATTATTTTCATCATTTCGATTTAAAAAAATTTTTTTAAAATAATTTTTTGAAAAAGTTTTTCGAGAATTTTCAAATCCTTTTGTTTATAATTCAATTTTACGAAATTTCGATTATTCTGACATTCTTTAATTAATTCATTTTTAAATTAATATTTATTAAAAAATTCTATACGAGAATTCAATTATTTAAATACGAAAATAAAAATTTTATTAAATAATTGAATGTTTCTTAAAATTCAATTCTCATAAAGAATTTTATCATTAAATTTTTAAATAATAGATTACTCTTAATATGAAAAATTATTAAATTGAGGAAAGTTTAGGAAAAGAATTGAATTCCAAAGAAGAGTTTTATTATTTATGAAAATAATTGAATAATAATCATTTATGAAAATAATTTGTAAATAATTGAATTTCTGCAATAAATTGTATTACTTTTGAATAAATAATTGAATTCTTGAGACGAATTTTATTAAAATTTCTTTTTAAATAATTCAATTCTTTTGTGGAGTTTTATTGAAATAACAGACATTAAAAATAATTGAATTTTGACAAATTTTTGAAATTAATTAAATTTCTACGTACAATTTTATTAAAATTATTTTGCCAAAAATTGAATTTGTTACAAAGAATTCAATAAGAATTTTTGAAAATAATTAAATTCTTTGAAGAAATTTAATAAAAAATATGTAAGTAATAAAATTCTCCAAAGAAATTAAATTATTTTAAAAAATTTTAACGAATATTTCGTCAAGAATTCAATTATCTTTATAAATAGCAAAATTTTTCGCCAAAAATTCAATTATTTTCAAAAAATTTAAATTAAATTCTTTGCAAAAATTTCATTTATTTTTAAAAGCTTTTTACATTTCAATATAATTTTCAAATATTCACTATTTTCATAAAATTTATCAAAAAATTTAATTATTGAAAAAAGTTTTTGATAAAATTCTACGAAAACATTCTATTTTCATAAATAATAAAATTTTATTTAGGAATTCAATTATTTTCACGACAAAATTTTATATATTTTTAATACAATTTTAAATAAATTCCTCGAAAAATGCAGTTATTCTTAAAAATTTTATTAAAATTTGACGAAAGAATTCAAATATAAGAAACATTTTTTTAAAATTCTCGTTAATGATTAAATTATCTTTATAAATAGTTAGCGAAATTCTTCTCAAGAATTAAATTATTGGCAAAAATGCTAATAAACTTATTCTTGTCAAACTTTCAATTGTTTAAACAAAATTTAATCAAATTATGAAAATTCTATTATTTTCATAAATTATTATTTAAATTCTTCTTAGGAATTCGAGTATTTTTAATAATTTTAATAAAATTCTTCACAAAGTTTTCAATTACTTTCAAAAATTGTTATAAAATTCTTTAATATAATAAATTTCAGTAAAATTTTAATTAAACTCCTTAAAAGAAATTAATTATTTTCAAAAGTTGTTAATAAAATTCTTTGTAAAAATTAAATTTTAATAAACATTCAATTATTGAATAAATTATTTACTTTTGTATTTAAATAATTGAATTCTCGTAGAATTTTCTAATAAAAATTGATTTAAATGAAATGAAAATGAATTACGATTAAAATTTTAGATAATAATTGAATATTAAAAGCAATATAGCATGAATTTTTAGAAATAATTGAATTTTGAAACGGTTTCAAATTCAAATCTTTGGAAATCTAAATTTTTCGTTCTTTTAAATAATAATTGATGTAAAGAAGAATTTTAGTTAAAAATTCTAGAAAATAATAATTGAATTGAAATGATGAAAATAATTTTGAAGAAGTACAACATTCTTATATAAAATAATAATTTCATCCCTTGGTTATCGTTAATTATTATAAAAACATGAAGAAATCGATTACTCCGAGTCGAAGACTCGGAGTGATTGACTTCTTTATGTTTTTAATAATATTCTTATATGTTATAAAATTTTAAAAGATTTGAATTTGAAATTTTTGAAAATCTTAATTTCAATGGAAAAATAATAATAAGTAAATAATTATGATAAATAAAACAATTGTTTTCGAATAATTTTACAATAATTAAAGAAATTCGCAAATATTCGAACATTTTTTTGAGTTTCTAATAATTTTTCGAGTGAATCAAAATATTCTTTAGTGGCAGGGAAAAGGTCAAAATTCTGTCTGGAAATCAGGCAAAAGTCATGGATCGAAATACAAATTTAAATTTTTGTGGCAACCCTGAAATAAAAATGTTTTATTAATCAGTTAATTTTTAAGTAATTCAGTTAAAAATTTTTATATATATATATATATATATAATTTATGTAAGGGATGGAAAAAATTTCATTTCTATGGAAAATCTATAAGTAATAAAGATATTGAGAATATTATTTTATATATTATATAAAAATGATAAATCTAATATTAAATTCATTAAAGTGTTATTTTTAACATTAACTTTGACAAAGCAATCTGAATGCGTACTTCGATTACTTGCAAAAGCGACTATTATGGATAAAGACTCCTATGACTGACGAAGCAACCCTCGCACTTCTTGCGCAATCGTTGACCCTCGAGTATGCGCTTTGAATACTTTATGGGGCGGCTCCTGTTGTGTGTTCGTCGTGTAAAACCGGCTTCGTATATAGTGATTTAAGCATTTTTCTCATCAAAAAATCTTCGAGAAATTAATCTTACAAGGAATTCCAAAATTTTCCTGCTTTTGGGAACTACACTCGACGAATGTCGAGATGGTTACTGACAGCACCAGCCAGGTACACTTGCTTTAGCATTCTTAATAAATTTCAACTTTTCAGAAAACTTAACTAGCCGGTTGTCTGTGTCTCGCCACACCGATCGAATTAGGGTTGAAATAGAATTTTAATTCAACTAAAATAAAAATATTGTCGCTTCATTCTTATACATTTATAGCATTTTATAGTAGAGAAAAAATGTTTCTTTTTTTAGATTAAATTTTTTTTAAATGTTGAATATAAAATCTGTTCTAAAATACTGATGAAAAATAAATGCAAATTCTATATTATTGTAAAGAAGAAAAACAAATTGGTTTGTTATATATATTTATTGCCTAATTTTTTTAATTATATACATATATATGTATATATATATATTTTTTAATTTAAAATAAAATTAAAAATTGATTTACATAAATTATATTTATTTCATTATAATATTTAAATAATATAAAATAATATTTACTGGTTGATTTAATTTTGACCAATTACATATTTTTTAATCTATATATTCAGCAAAAATTGAAATTATTATTATTAAAATTAATTATTAAGCGAATTGTGATAATGATTTTTAACCAAAAATTCCACTTTATTGACTCAAAATACGAAAC